CCACCGTCCAATGCCCCCACTCATCTCCCTGACATCTCTAACGGCGTGAGGCTCAAAAATGCGGCATCAGGTCGCGTCGCGCATCGCATCACCTGGCCCCAACATCTGAAGCTGCTTGCCTGATATAGATTGATGATGGTTTTACACCACGTCGCATGGCCTGTCCGGATTCCTCATCTAGCTTTGCCATTTTTTTTTTTTTTTTTTCCTTTCTTTCTTTTCTCATTCTTTCTCCATAAAACTAGGCTTTTGTTCCTTCATCCCTATCATTGATCCGTATTTAATCTCGGCTCATCTGCGACACGTGCGCCCTCTCCACCGAGTGAAATCACCGGCCTCCTGTTATCACCGCACGTAGAGTCTGTTTAATCCCCGTGGCATCTATGGCATGTACAAGGAGGACGTCAGGTCATGCAAGGGAACGTGCACCATACAGAATAAACATATTCACTCACCCAAGCAAGATCCCCAAGTCGGGAATCCGCCGATTTTACATGAAAATCAAGATGACATCGGTCACCAACCGAGGATTGTTTCCGCCATATTGCCTTCACTCTCGTCTACTATCAAAATGAATCTCTTCATGTTATTGTTTCTCTTGGCCCCTTCCCCCTCTGCTACCCCAACGCGAATCACTATTTCTAGGAAGAAGGGGGCCTGGAAAGCCTCGTTCTGTTCCCTTTGAAGTGGCATGAGGATCAAACGACACTCAACCAACCCCTAGCCGACCATCCCTATCCCTGAGCGGTAGATCACGCCCACCCGACAAGAGGAAAACCGCCCACACCTGGCCCCAACATCTCCCTTCGCGAACAAGGACAGGCCCTTTGAGCTCTTCCTCCCCCGCCCCAGCAGTTGTTGTAGCCGAACGCCCTGCTAACACCGTGATCTTCACTGTTCGACTTTTGCCTATACAAGATGACTCGACAAAAATTGGCAAGGGAAGTCGAGTCACGTGTAAAAGCTGGACATCATGGATCGGATGTTCAACCAGCAGATCGAGCGTGTGCGCCTTTTTCCTTAACCAAAACACGGGGCTGGAGCTGGAGCTCCGTTGAGTTTGCAACTGATGAGCCTTGACCGAAATGGTTGAAGACGCGAAATTAGACGGGTATCATTAAATCGAGCCAAATCAGAAACCACCCTGCGGCTGAACTTAAGAGCCTCATTGTATTAAGGATAAGATCAAGAAACCGGCCGGAAACAGATCTCAACTCTTTTTCCCCCACGCATCGGATGAGAAGGCAAACGCCGCCGCCGACGCAAAGAGTTGCGCTTCCAAGCTTCAATGTTCATTTGCCTTTTTCTTTCTCCTACTTTTCCATCCATGTAGTCATTCTCGTCACCAACCTTTAGCCTTTCCGTGTCATTCAGCCCTCTCCTCTCTCATTTTCCATAAGCTTTTGTCTCAGCCGGATTACCAAAGACCAACTCTAAAATTCCCCCCTCTACTAAAGGCTAGCTAAAAGGGACCAACCTTAAGTTGCTGTGGCGGCAGAGATGGGAAACTGACGTCGCAACATGGTTGTTCCGGGTTGCTTTTGCTACACGTACGAAAAGCGAGACATGCGCCGGGTTTCGGGCTAAACTCTGTCCCCAAAAAAATGCTTAATCGCGAGTCCTTTTCCTTCAATTAACCATTTTCCGGTGGCCGTGTCGGTCGAGAATCTGCCATCTCGGGATCCATAGATGACGGGCCCCCAAACCAGCAGAACAACAGGGCCACGAACTTCTATTGATGCCCCACTTTGGGAGTTGGCCCCTCGGCGCCTTTGATTTCTATCACCGGCCCAAGCCCTTTTGTCATCTCAAGGCTCAACCAATATCGCGACTCATTTCGCTAGGCGCCGCCTGAAACCAGGCGTTTCGCAGAGGATAAAGGGCACAAAATATAAACCAATATTACAAAGATGTGATCAGTCGAGATCAAGATGTGCTTGTATTAAAGAGTCTCCAAAGGGAAAGAGAAGAGACGTCAGGTGCAGAATCCGCAAAATTAAAGGGAGAGACAATCGAAAAGAGAACCGAACAAAATAGACAACCTAAGAGTGGAAGAGAAGGGCAACGGCCGGCATGGTCGATCAAGGGGATGGGCAAGGCCAAAGCAACGGGCGGGAGGCGAAGAAAGGGCAAGCAGGAGCGCCCGCGCCAAACGACGAGGGTCATGTTTAGACGATCACGGCAAGTCGCCAAGGCGAGCTCCGGAAAAACACTCCAGAGTCGAAGAAAAGGAAAGGGCAAGAGCAATAACTCGATTAAAGAGCCAAGCCTTCTTCATGTGTCCCATCTAACGAGCCACCATAGCCAAGCACCCAAGCACCCAAAGCACCGACCCCGACGTGACGTGGGGAAAGGGTAGGAAGGATGGCGGACGGAGAAATATCAATCACGGTGCACTGCCGACTCGTTTGATCTACCCAAACGGAAGATCTGAACCCCTCCAAAGAGAGGCGCGATGGCTTGTTGACAGGAGCAATCTCTACATGGAACCCGACGAGAGAGAGGAGGGCTGCAAGAAATGGCGAGAGCGGAATAATATGATGGGCGAAGACGAGACGAGATGGGCCCAAAAAAAAAAAAAAAAAAAAAAAGAAGAAGAAGAAAGTAAAGGCACGTCAGGCACCGTCAAACATTGTCTCGTCCTAGCTGCGAACTATTAGTCGGGACTGAGCACGGCTTTCAGTTCTCGGCGACTTGCACGCCATCGGTGCGCACATGTCATTGATGCAGGTAAAGACATCAATTCATCTTTCTCAGGCCAGTCCGAGTGGGGTTCCCGACCAGTAGGAGCCACCGCGAAGAACATTGAATGATTCTCCCTTCAAGTTTGATGCCATGTGGGATTCAATGTTCAAACTGACGATGCGCTCGCCAACTCGCCTCCCCAATCCACCCCTCTGGTCTTGTTGATTGGCGAGTCGGGGTTCAGGATCTCCAACCCGCAAGGGCAGGGTTTGTCTCCCTTTTCCTCCCCAAGAGGTTGCAACTTCCCTGCTAAAACTACTTCGTGACCTTGTCAAACTCCCATCAGAAGAGGCGATCCCTGGCAATGATGGATCGCCACTCCCCTTCCCCTCCTCCCTTGCTGATCCCAATTTTCTTTGCCCGTTCGCCAGGATTCTAGGGCACAATCCAGAACAAAAAAGAGAAAGGAAAACCCCTCCCTGCAACTTCTCAACTGCGATGCAGGTCGGGCACAAGTGGGAACCCCCAAGCCCCCTTGCCCCCGTAAACAGGTTCGAGGGGTGCAAGAGCTGATTGAAAAGATCAACGAGATTGAAGGGGCGTGGACGCCTGTCAGACGTTTCTGGGTATCTCTTGAGAGGGGTTTTTTCCCCTTTCAAAGATCTATATTATCTGCTATATCGATAATCGATATTGGCAGGTGCTAACATGGTGGCAATATGAACGGGCGCATCACCGAGATGGCCATTTCTTTCAAACCCTCTTTCCTTTTCTGGCACATCCAACTTGGGCTTGGTTGGCGGACTTGAGAACATGGCCCCGGGAATGCAACGCGAACATGGCCGTTGAGTTACGCGCGTCGTGTCAACCCAACGCTCTCCAAGTGAGATTGAAAAAAGGAAGCCCACTTTACGCGGCTCAAGCTCCCATGCTGGGGAGGAAAGCCCCATCCGTACCTGCAGCGCCCGGAAATGAGGTATTGGGATCCGTGCGGCGAGGCAATTCGGCAACAGCAAAGAAAAGGGAAAAAGAAGCAAGGAAAAGGTGGGCATTGATCTGTCAACCGGGAACGCTATCGACGCTAAAACAGGACAAGGGTGGGAAAATGAGCGATGAGGGCGAGATGAAAATAGGATGGCGAAGGAACGGGTCCCCACGGACGAAGGAATCCATTTGGAGATGACATTGTACTTTTGGTACGCTATCCAACGACGATACGATGGCGGGACCTGCAGAATTGAGACAGACATCCCTGCCACGGCAAGGCTGATGGCGCCAGTCCCGTTACCTTATCCTCTCCAATTTTATTAGACTTTTTTCTGGGAACCAGAGAACGCGTGTGCGACGCGTTCCTGCGTCCAAGGCTTGGCAGAAAGAGAGAACCATTGACGACTTTTTTTTTTTTGCAAGGGAGAGAGGAAGAAAGAGAGAATGTGTATGTGTGCACCGAGGTCTGTGAGTTCCCTTTTCCAAAGGAAAGGGCACCATGCATTTGACTGGAGAAGAGGTGGAATACGAGCTTCTTTTTTGTCATTTAGCATCGTGTCATGGCTTGATCTCGCGGGCTCATCGTGGCTAGCTGTCATGTGAAGATGGAAAGGCCAAGTGACTGACCAGCACGCTCGCGGCCAGCCTACGATACAGGTCAGGAGAAGACTATGGGTGGCTTAGCAGCCAGATGTTGTTGGAAAGCCTTAGCTTATAAAGGAGGCGCAGGAGCTCCGCCTTGAACATGTTTCCTCCCAACGTCCAACCCTGTTAGTGATGTTGGCCTAGGCCTCAACGACCTGCGATGGAGGGTGAGAGGAATGCATGCGCCTGTACGCTTGACAGGTCTTGAATGCAGTTGGTTGCTCGTACTTGATGATATGCTCTCAACTGAGTTGTGAGCACAAGAAAATGGGAGATGATGATTATAATATCCCTTTATATAGAACCATCAGTGACCCCAGGGACACAGGACATAGCGCGCTTATACCCAAAGACAACTAATTCATCAGACTAGTATACGTAAACAAGTGACTGAGTGGTGAAACCCCTTCCATGAAGCCCTTTGAGCGATGAGATCACGACAGGCGGTCCCGTAGACTAACACGCCCACCCCGAAGCGTGCCCCCTCGCTCCTTCAATATCATCCCTTCCATCGTCGTGATATCGGTACCTGAGCCTGGGGTCTTTGGGCAAGCCCAGAGGTTGCTATGTTTGCGTTAGTCGATACCCAAGTTCAATGAACCTAGCTCTGTGCTGGATATCCCTGTTGCCTAGAGCTCGTGGTGCTGGCCGCGGAGTTGAGACTCGGCGCAAGCGACATCGACATGAAGGCCGCCACGTCTCAGTTGGCCATTGAAATTGGTATCATCGACGCACACAGTGCACTCCATCGACAAAAGGCCCTCCGCAGCCCTAGAGCCAGTTCTTCCGTACCCATTGTGAATATCTCCAAGGCCCAGCCCGGGCAAGGTAAGTAAAAGCACAGCTCTCACTCTCTCTACACAGGCGCAAGCCTCGTCAACATAGCCCTCACCAACCTCCTCGAAAACTCCCCTCGTCTCCACGAGCGCCTGAAACTCCTCGCTCGGCCACAGATCCTCGAGGCGCACGGCCGCGTACAAGCTCACCACTTTTTCAGATCCGCCCCGTCCCCGCCCTGGCACGGCGGCGGCCCGTCCTCGTAGCAGTAGCGGATCAGCTTGAGGAGGTCGCCCACGCGCTCCCGGTAGGGCGTGAAGAGCACGAGGGCGCGGTGGAGCTTGTGCACGGCGAGGGCCTGAGCTCCGCGATGCCGTAGTACTCGGCGAGGAAGTAGATGCGCGCGTGCGAGAGGAAGACTTCGCTGTAGTCGTCCGTGGGTCCGTTTCGGCGCGTGTGCGACCCGTCGTCGGGGAAGAGCAGGGCAAAGTTGACCCACGGGGACGAGGCCTTGGTCCTCCCACCACCTCCACCACCACCACCACCGCCTCCGAAGACGAGACCCCGCCGGTGTCGTAGACCTTGACGTCTGGAAGAGGGAGGATGCGGGTCGAGCTGAGGTTGCGTCTCTCGATTACGTCCTCGGATGGCTCGGCCCCCGCGTAGTCCCCGTGTAGACGAACTGGCTGAAGCGGAGGAACGTGGGCTCATCCACGTTGGTCCATACGGCGCTCCTCTCGTTTTGCTCCTTGCTTCCGCTTCCGTGGACAAGGGCGTCGAGGGCGCGCGACTGGCCGGCCACGGCTCCGGAGCGGAGGAAGTACGGCCTCTGTTCGGGCCCGATGAGAAACTTGAACGAGTTTGGGGAAATGGTACTAGAGGCTGGTTAGCGTTCCTCCAAGGTGCCGTTCCGGGAACTGATCTGGACTTACTTTTGGTGTGTTACCGGCGCCATGGTTGTTTGACATGACATGCCTCACGATAACATCATCGGGAGACCCAAGGTAAAACGGCTCGTTTCCTTACATCTCATGTATACGGAAAGCACTACCGATGGCATGGCAGTTTTCTTTTGGCGGAGGGGTCAATGTCAGAGTTGTCTCCAGATCATCACCAATATATACCCCGATGATTTAGGGCTTTAAACCTTCTTGGTAAGATTTGGGTTCCCTCCCTCGAGCAATCATGGACACGGGTCAAGGACGCCGGCCTAAACTTTAAAATCGACTACACCACGAGAGCCTCCACTTTCCCCCAAACAGGGAGGAAGCGGCTATAGAAGGGAAGTGGTGGCTACTATCTCTTCCGTCTAGTGGCTTCTAGTCTTGCCTTTTGAGAGGGGAAGACGTCGAATAGGTCCAACCCTTTCTCTCCGCCATCTTTGCGAGAGTGTCTAGCTTTCCTCGCGGGCGGGCACCACTAGCAGGAGAGTCCTCAAGTTGGCACAGCCTACTATAGCCCGCGGCCTTGGTCCCGAAGAATCCAAAAGCTTGATTCATCGACGTGCGAAGGGAGAGGAGCACCGAAATTTACTATTCCCGTGGACTCTCGTAAGAGCAGCGGGAGCCAACTTTTTCACCAACTCCACGCTAGATCGCCAAGAGAAAGCGGATCGCTCACTCTCTTCTGCCTCCATCCTGGGTTCTAGGACACCGTCAAAACAGCTCCTCATAGATATTGACTGAGTACCGCTAGGGGGCCATCCCGGAATCGCACGCCGTAAACCGCGCCGGACTCCCCTCCGCTATCCCCGGACACAACACAAGGGCGCGAGAGAAGCGAGAGCGACGATCCCTCGCATCCACACTAGAATAAAAAGAATAAATTCTTCATCGGGGAACGTGGCTCCGGAAGGGCAACCCCTCCGAAGTCGTCCGCCGATCCTCCTTTCCGCGCCTAGCGCCACGTCCACGTCAAGCACGGCGGTGCCGGCACAAGGAACCCCGTCCCCAAATCCGCCCCCTAAAGAACCCAGGAAGCGAGGCGTGGCGCCATCGTTGCCTACCTCTTTAGAAATCCTGATCCCCTTGATTAAGTTTGCCGGACATGGGAATGCGTTGAACCCGGTTCGCCATCCCTTCGCTCTTACGCCATGGGCGACGGAGAACCTGGTGGATGGGATCTTTTCTGCTCGGGCTGTTTAAGCCAAGACAGTCAGGTCCCTGGACACACGCGAGCCATCTGTGGACGAGGCTTGAGAGCCCAACGGGCCTTCCTCGAAAGGCAACTGATCGGCCGTTCATCTCCTCGTTCTCGAAGCTGCCACAAGGAAGCTTTTTCGCAGACGAATACGCAATCTCTCCACCTCTCCGTCTACAAACCATGGACCGGGGGGCACCTTGAACATTGGCCCTTTTTCTTTTTCTTTGTTGTTGGAGGATGATCCCCTGGAACAGTGCCTCTCTGCTGGTGCATCGTCTTGTGGGCTCTCGGAGGCCATGTGACCGAAGCCTTTTCATCTTTTTCTTATCATTTTGGATTCGTATCTACGTCTCCTCGCCCAGGACGCCTATTCAAGGTTCTTTCCTCCGACTACCTTGAAAAGGGGCAACCAGGCATGTCTCTGTCGCGAATATAGAAGCACTCCGGCCTCCATTCTAGACCATCATCACTCTCGCCCATCATCTGGCCGCTTGTCGTTGACTGCTTACGCGATCCGAATAGCTCTCGTAAGCAAACGCTCGTAAAAGCGGACAGGATGCATGCCCACAACGCCCGGTGCACTTTGCCCGGCCTAGGCCCTTATCAGTGTATCAATGGATCCATCCATGTATTGATTCATTCATCCATATGAATAGGGGTGGAGCAAGAGAAGGCACAGGCTTTGTTCACAATTCTCCTTCCTCTTTGTGTCCGACAAGGGAATCCTGGAACAAGCCCACCCAGGCACTGCTGTGACAGTAGTCGCACGTCTGTGCGAGCCGCGCTTGCCCCTTTAGGCTCTAAAGAGGATCTGAACACCATGTGGCCTGAGTTGCGAGATCTCCACAGCCGATGGGCGGGCAATGAGTATTCGCCCTCGCTTGTCTCTCCTCTTCTCTCATCTCTTCCTCAAAAGGAGAAGGTAAGAAAACGCTAGACAGGGACCATTCTTCCAAAAGGTAAGGCGGGCGGGGATGAATTGAGAAAAAAATGAAGAAGGGAACGTCGTGTAATACTCGACGCAACGCTGCAAGTGAGGATCGGCTACCCGGACTTTGCGAACCATTGGGAACGGGCCTCTCCCATGGGATTTTCCCAAATGATACCTTCCACCAAGCGGAAACAAACAAAAAAAAAAAAAAAAAGAACGAGAAGAAAAAGGGTTATTCTCACAGAGAGAAGGGGGATTTGGATTGGATCTTGCCCTGCGTTTCGTACACTCCGCGCCTCTAGATGGTCCCCCATTGTGCAACTCATCTTGGGGGATTTTCTGCTGGGGTTGGTGTTTAGCGAAAGTACGGGGTTGTATGGGGCGCGTTAAGTATGACATATCGGATGACGGGGGTTGACCAAACCCAAGCGGTTGAGGGTCACGACCATCCTTTCCGAGGAGTGCAACGTGAAGACCAAAAGAGGTCGACACGGGTGAAGTGGTTCATCAGAGAAACGAGACACAAAATGGGCCGAAAGAAGGAAACACGGCTCGACGCGTTTCCATGGGCCATCTAGAAAACGCATTGCCCATCGGCGTTGTTCTGTCGCCGAGCTATCATTACTACTATTGTTATAGACTGGGATTTTCGGGCGGCATTCACACTTGCTATGTGGCGCCTTCTCATCGGCTGGTCAACTCCAGCCTCTGCGGCCGAACTGCAGGTGTTGGTTTCGGTCCACGGCTGCCGAAGGAGACGTTGGCGACGAGCAAATTTTTCTCTTCTTCTTCTTCTTCTTCTTTTTCTGCTTCATCTTGCCTTGTTCACATTTCCCTACTTCATGGGCATTGGTGCACTAACCTTGGAGGAACTCCCGAAATCTCGACGAGTCTCCACCACCCGAATGATTGGATGGGCTCATGCAGAATCACAGTGATGGGGACGAGGAGGCGAAGTCATGGCCTCTTGTGTGGGCAACAATAATACGGAGGGTTAATATGCTCCAGCGCAAGTCGAGATGCGTATGAAAAGCAATTCCTTTAGTGAGGCGGAGTGAGCTGGAAGAATCTCTTATCTGGAGCCTTCTCTCTCTCGCCTCTTTCCCTTGGAGAAAAAGGTCTTTGCCATCCCTGTCTTTCATGAAGCTCCTCATGGGTAAGGGGACCCCAGTCGAGGGCTAGGGGCGGGTTGACAAAAAAAAAAAAAAGGGGTGGGCTGGATGGCGTACCTGCTTGGACTAGGGTTTGTCGAGAGAGGTTGTGTGTGGGCGGGTGGGCTGTTCTGGTTCCTCTCTCCATTTCGTGTTTGATGAGCTCAAGGTTACAGTTCTGCGACCCTCCGGCTTCTTGACGCCATCACGGATCCTTCTTGATGTTGTTTCAACCCTTTAAGGGAATAGCATCGAGGATCCCCGGTCCGTTATGGAACTCGGTGAGGAGCCAGGGATATATATCGACGTGGTGTACCGAGGCATGGAAAGTCAAAAAGAAAAAGAAAAAGAAAGGGGGAAGGAAACAATCGAGGTTGGAGAGGAAAGGGAACAGCTTCGGGCTCTTCGCCACGTCCTGAGTGAGTGCATATTTTGATTAAAATGTGTGATGCGAAGGAGACTCTAGGCTCTAGGCCACGGGCCACGCATTCGTCGTTACTTGATAACCAAAAACGCGCCAGGTTCGAAATGAGGACAGAAAGCGAGAAAAACACAAGGAATAAAAAGAAAACATGCCTGGACTCGAAGACGAAACCAAGGAACTCCCCCAGAATTGATGCACCTCGACGGGGTCAAGGCAGGCGCAATGTCTCACTCCGCGCATGCCGTACTGACACTAACACATCAAGACGAATGGACTTGACATTTTTCTCTCCGAAGGAACAGGGGATTCAGTACGCCTGTCGTTGTGGATCCCGCTTCTCAACCCAACCAGAGTACCTGCTACGCAGCCTGTCGTAGATTCTTTTTTTCTTGCCTCTTCTTTACTTTTTTATTCTCCCTCCGCCGGAGCCCAGCGCATGCATGTCTGAGATGGACTGCCCCACTATCAACGACAAAAGAAGGAGGGATTACCGGTCAAAGAGGGGAGATGGGAGAAGAGACGGGGTTGTCTTTGATGTCAGTGTCGACAATCCAGCTCATTGTGGCCTGCCCGAGTCCTCTTGCGACATGTAAGGTCAGGAATCTGGTTGACTTCCATACGATGCACGCTCCGAAACAGCGACATGATGGAGACTTGAAAGAACCCCTCTGCCCTTTTCACGAGGCAGACGATAGCGCGCTGCACCTTGGAGGGTCAGCTGGTTTTCGGCGCCATGTACGAAATTTTCTGGCCCACGATCATTGTCTTGTGTGCCGTGGAACGCCGTGCATCGCACGGATGCAGGGCCGCTATGGAGAAGCTTAGAGAGCGAGGGATCCATGGATCCATGGATTGCCAGAGAAAATCTGGGGCGCTCTCTTCGCCTAATCAGCGATTAACCCCCGCCTTCACTCTCCTTGGAGGGGCGGACCGGAACGAGGGAGGCTGCTCGCGTGGTGTCGTCTTTCCATTTTCGCCTAGTTGTCGACGGACCTGGTTGTTTATTTTATTTTCCTCACACCAGTTTCGACGTGGCCCTTCAGCCTCGCATCCAGAGATGTTCGGCTCTCCCGTCTCGCATGGGGAAGGGGAGGGAAAAAACCTAGGGTCCTGCTCTGCCTAGGAACCAATCTATTCTAGTGTGGCTCAAGGCTCGGCTCTCAATGATCAATGGGGGCGACTGGTAACATCGTCGGAACTGTCATCCAAGCGAGACATGGAGCCGTCGACCCTGCGTACACTAGGTGGGCCGTCCTCAATATTAAGTGTAAAGTTTTTATACGGACGAGCTGAAGCGCTGCAAAGTTGAAACTCATTGACAATGCGCACTTGGACGAACTATCCTGGTTCGGGCGATAGTACGGAAGGACGTGGAAGAGATCGACCTTTGCATGGCACTTATCACCTCGTTTGTGGCAGGATGCAGAAATGTGATGGCGTCGTTCCGATGCAGGAAGTAAGGGGGCACCAGCGCGCTGCATGATCTTAGACTGGTGCCCACTTGATGGCTCTGCCCAACGCGTTGTTTGAAGAGTGTGCTGCGATAAGTCTGCAGTAGCCACAAGTCCATTTGCATGGGCATTCAGGCCAAGTGGGCGTGGGAGGGGCAATAATACTGACACCAGTGCACCGCGTACATCAATGTATCTCGAAGAAACCACCAGAGACTGATGGAAATTTCACCTCGAGGCGTGCTCCTCCTCACCAAATTGACGGTGGCTCGCTCATCAAGATAGCATTTAATCGGGAGGCTGGTGAGATCACTCGAGAAGATGCCCCATACACTAAATCGATGCCCGGACCCTTGCGTCAATCCCCCTTGTAATTAGAGGGTGAGGGGTCCGCCAGCGGGCATGACCCTTGTAAGTCTGTTTGTGTAATAAGGGACTTTCCTTCAGGGTTTCTTCGGAATGTTTGAAGGCTTTGTGTTGAGGTCCAACCCGAGCAAGGTCGCCGACGAGGACGGTCATATTTTGCGGGTCAAGCCCTCTCCAAGACCCCCAGTGGGCTGCTGGTTGTAATGTTGCAGTGCTAGGAAGATGAAGCTATGGCCATCGCGACATGGAGAGAACATTGATCCTTTCCCCAACTTTTGACGTGACAAAGGATATGGGAAGAGGAGCTCCTTCTTCGCCTAGGATTTGTACGAAGTAACTCATCAGATATGTCGGACTCTCTCTCCGTTCAAGGTGAGGAAGGAACGTCCGGCTCAATCGGGTCGAGGGTGCCGTGGTTTTGGAGGGCAGTGCAAGTCCCAGCGCCCAGAAGACGGAGCCAAAGGTGTGAGCACTGAGGATGTGGGTTGTGGTCTGTTACCAAGTTCCGCGCCACCATGTGCACGCGCAGGCGCGCAGCCTCGGAACATTCAAGCGTGCACGAATATGTTCCTGCTGCTCGAGTCTGGCAGTCTGGCAATCTGGTAACCTGGTATTGTGTGTAGATGGAGATGAGGGACCGGCGGAGTAAGTCCACTTGCCTGCCTTGGATGGTGTAGTGTACTTCAGGTTGCTCTCGCTCTCCCGTGCCATTGTAATTGATGCAGATATTTTGTTGTAAGTACATGCCCTGGCCTCATCTTTTTGCTGGGCGGTACAAGTAGCTCTAGCTGCTTGAACTAAAAGTTACTTGTAACATTGGGCAATTGTGTGGGCGACGCTACTATCCTGAACGCACTCAATGGAAGCGCAGGAACGAATGAGAGGGGTACACTAGGATCCGTGTGCTGTGGGTTCGTACCTTGATCGCAAGGGACAAGCGAACCCTTGTAAGTGACCGAGGTGAGGAGAGGAGGAGCACCAACACGACAAAATAAGATGGCAATTGGGACCCCTGAGCTTCGGACCGCGAAAAGACGTGATTGCCAGTGCTCGAGCTGCTTGCTTCTTTACCAGATACCCCTCCTTCCGAGGACTTCCACCACGCGGGATAGCCAAGTCGTCACATCACGACCCTCTTCTTTCTTTTTCTTCTTTTTTGTGTGCTTGTTCTGTCCTCACTACTGGCCTCGTCCCTTCTCTCCCCCTCCGGCCTTTGACGCCTTGTCCATCTTCTTCACCCGTGTCTTTTAATCACCTAGCCTCTTTTTCTCACTTTCGATACCCCTTCACTTTCGTCTCTTGTCAACCAAACGGAAATACGATTTAACATCATTACCTCTCCTTTGACCCCGTTCGAGTACTACCACCACTTAGTTTCTAATCAAATAACCAACCTCGACTCTCCCTCGACTCCTATCGAATGTGATATCGACAAACCAACCCGGCTCGCAGCGAACCCTCTCTCTAATCCCACCATTCGCCACTTGACTGGACTTGACGGCCTTCGCCTATCATCATTGAGAAAGACCCCCTTTGGCGAGCGAACAAAGAACAGCCCGAGAGAAACCAGGAAGCCGTAGCTTTGATTCGCCCCAAGAGAATCATAAGATCGATTACGCGCAGCTGAACTACGCTCATTACTTACATGCCGCACGAGACCAAAACATAAACATTCCTCGGTGCCGCTCGCCAGTTTTCCTTGTTTGACACATCTCAACACTCTTTGGACCGCCTCCCGCCTTGATCCATAAATTAATCCTCACTCGCCGCGCCCTTCTCGAGCGGAAATTACCTTCTTTCCTTTCTTCTGGATCTTGCTGCAATGAAACAGGATCCACGGTTACCAAGCAGAAGCGGATGAATCTTGACTGGGGACGCCAAAACAATTATTCCCAAGGCCGCTGGCAATAATAGCCAGCGATTAAGAACTAATATCGGGATCCAAGGACTGCGGCCCGTTGTGCTTGTTTGCCGCCCACTAAGCAACAAAAATCCGGGTCCGGAACGCTCCAAGGATTGTTTCTTTGCTCATCCCCAATTTCCTCTGCGGCTTACTTTTTTCTCCCATATCCTGTCCGATCTCCCGACGTCCGGATTTCCCAGCTCCCCGAAAGAAACGAAAATCGCAGCAGGCGACGCCCGACCGGGCAGACGGCAGAAGTGAGAGAGGTGAGAGAAGAGAGAAAAAAGGGAGCGTAATTCAAAATCCTCCAGTCGAGCGTTAGTCGCTCCTTTGAGTGGAGGATTGTTCCCTCCGCGAAATCCGCTAGGGGAAGCGAGGGTGTGCGAGAAGCGGGGACCGTGCTGGCAGAGTCAAGACAGGGAGACGGGATTCTTTCAAAGTTCCACTCGTCATGATGTCTGCTGGTCCGGAGCCCACTACTATCCACTCTGCGGTGAATCGCGGCACGGCACGGCGGTCTTCGACGACGCTGGGCTCGAGAACCAGCTCCTCGGCAACAGTCATGACGTCTTCATCTTCGCTGTCGTCGGCAACCTCTACCTCCTCGGCGTGTCTGCACACTGCGCATCGCCAGAGCCATAACCAGTCGAAATTGCCCGCTTTTCGATTTACTGACCTAAACACTGTAAAGTCCCCTGTGGGTCTTGTGCTGCCCTCTTGCGCACTGCTGCAGCAACAGCACCTTCCCCCTCGCCGGCGTTGTCGCCCAATGATCCGTCGAGCCAGGGCCCACAGGACCAATCGAGCCCCAATCCGACCAATCAGGACATGGAATCCACGCAAGGACCGCTGAAGGGCCCGTGTGTGGGCTCTGGAACAACAGGAACAGCAGGAGCAAGTTCTCTGTCTCTTCAACAAGGAAAGGGTCAGGGACAAGGACCGGCGTTCGACAACATTGCCCCATCAGCGTCGGACCCGCTGCACCTCCCCAAAACATCCGGTCTCACACAGCGACCCATCCCCCAACATCTGGATTCCAACAGGGGCAGCAATCCGCACTGAGGCACGACAATCTTGCCGGTGCTCCTAATAATACTCCCAGGAGCACATCTGCTATTGCCTCCTCCCGTCCTCCGTCCATGATAAGACCACCCCGAGCCAGAGCGTCCACTCTTCAGCAGCAGTCCAAATCTGTCGCCGGCGTCGCCTCTTCACCATCTGCCTCAGCAGCAGCAGCGTCTTCCTCAAAATAACCGGGCCGCTAGGTGGAGCGGTAAAAAGCACGCCCTCTTCGACAGTCACTTCTGCTGCAAGGCGACCCGCATCCCTTCCTGTCTCCCCTCCAAAAACACGTGTGTCCGGACAACTCACCCCCAAACCATTCCGCACCTGCAGAATCAAGGTCAGCAGCACCAAAAGTTGGACCATCGCTGCATGCACCTCCACCAGCAACAACAATCCCCGCTGCCTCTACGCTCGATCTGGCACCACCGGCTCATGCATCATCCTCCTCCTCCACCACCCCAACACCAACAACAATAACAACAACAGCAATTTTGTCATCGCCTATTACCGCGTCTCCGTCAACCTCGACTCCCACCGCCTCGATTTCGACAAAATCACAACCTCCCTCTCGACGGAAGCCGGCCTCACTTGACTCTACTCCAGTAATTCTAATCGCCGACCTTTCCTCTCCCGGGCCAATCCCTCCTCAGCGTCGACACACGGACACGACGCAATTTTTACAGACATCGAGAAATTCCCAGCGAGTATCGTCGGTCTCTACCGACGGTTCAAGCGGTGGCCAGCGCGAACTTCTCCTGCCCAAAACCCTACAACATCACCAGCAACCGAGCCCGCCCGATGAGAAGCGAGTATCGACGTACCTCAAGCGACGAGCACCGCCAGTTTCCTTCAAGGCCCCTCTTTCTATTTGCACCACTGCATCCGCACCATCTCCTGGCGCATCGACCCCGTCAACAGTCACCACACCGGTCCGGGTCCCTCCGATTCGAGGATTTCGATCGTCCGGTTCCCGACGCAGCCTCGTCCTCGAGCAGGGTTCAAAGACGATGAGGCATTACGATAACAGCAGCGACGACTCGCCGGGCTTCGACTCGCGCGAACACACTCTTCGAGCTCTCGAGGGCCGCACCGATTACGGCCAAATCACCCCCACACTCGATGGAACCTGACAGTGCCGATCAGGAAGATACTACCGACATGTTTTTAAATATCGCGAGAGAAGATTCAGTGAGGCCGAGTATTGAAGACGGCCGGGAGGATCAGAGTGCTCTGGTGAGTCCCTCGGGGTCCTTTTCCTTCTTCTTCCTTTGTCATTTGCACAATTTTTTCTCCTTTTCCCTCTGCACTTTTCCCATGTGGCTGTCTAGGAGGGAGGGAGAACATATTGCTTTTCATCCCCCTCAACCTATCGTGGATTTTTTTTTTTTGGGAATTATTGCCTTCCACCCGATGATTATTTCGTTTTAGTTTTCCGTCTTCATGGTGCCACTCCTTTTCAATGATTTGCAGGGTCAAAATTCCTCAAATAGTAGATTGAGAAGTTGCGGTGTCTCATGTTTCGACCCGAGAAACACCGTTGGGCATTCATCCTTCCCTCCCGCATCATTCCCGTCGCATGACCTAGACGCTTACGACAGTCGCACTGTCTGCACAATACTTTTTCCCGACCGTGCTAGTCGCTAACCCACCCACCTTTTCTTCAGTCTCGAGTTCTTCGAACGGGATCCCACCGTCGGCCACTATCCGCGGCGATCCCTTCCTATCAACCCACTTCACCCCGAGGATCAATCGACGACTATCCGACCAGCGCGAAAACTCGAAAACTACCTTGGACCATGGATCTCCTGCGGACCCAACAGGCCGCAACCTGTCGTATCGAAATTTCGGACGAGAGAAGGCCCTCTCGGCTCACCCTGGTGAAGACCTCAATCGCCGCGTGGTTTCGGCTAGACCGGGCCCTACCACCCCCAGAACCCTTGCTTTTCAGGACATGAACGATTCGGGCACCTACAACAGGCGGCGCACCTCGATCTCGGATGCGACCACAACGCCGAGGACGACGCCGTACAAGCAATCTAACCTGTCCTATGGCCAATATCGCTCCCCTGCCGGGTACAACTCTTCGCCGCTCGCTCCCCGATCCGACCATACGCTGAGGGCTGAGCCAACACAACAGTCTTTTGATTACGGACAGGGCGTTGAAGGAACGGAGTCTACCGCTTCCACAACCGGGCCTTCGACGGTGTGGGACGAGCTAGACGATCTCAAATCTCGCATCAACCGTTTGGAAGTTACAGGCAAAACCCCGTCCACCTCAGGTGCGGCCATGTCCCGCGTCTCAGACGAGCGGCCATATACCGCGAACACGGCCCTCACCAACATTTCTGGCTCGCCTAAGCGCACAGTCACGGGCCGAGCGGTTGCGGCGGCGAACGCCGCTTCCGCGCACCCTGACGCTATGAGCACTGTCTCCGGCCCCAAGGAATCTCACCCGAACTTGCACGCGGCTCTCGCGAAATCGAAGGCGCTGCTCGGCGCAGAGGTGTACAAGGCCCTGGAATCAGCTGCGACTGATGCTCTAGGACTGCTGAACATGATGGGCACTGTGGGACAACCTGGGCCCATCTCTAGCGGGGCGAGCACGATTGGAGGACCGGGTATGACGGACCGCCAACTAAGGCGCAAAGCGGACAGCGTTTGCCGAAGTATCACGGAACTCTGCCTGGCGTTAAACGAGGAGAACGCGCGCCCCAAGACTTCGCACGGGGCCAATGCGAGCCAGAACGAGTGCCCATCCACCCCGACGACTCTGAACGGATTCACGGCGCTAAACCCACAGCGCCGGGCCAGCACGATGACGGATCAGAGGCCCAACACTAGCCCCCGCGCCATGTCGCGACTCGAGGAGCGACGAACCAACTTGCTCAACGGCACCGCGCTACCGAGCCCCCGGCTCGCCATGCCTTCCTTTGGTGCAACGGCCGAAGTTGGCGCTCAGGGTCGGCGATCCTCTCTTCTTCTCTCCCGTCGACGGGCGGGCACGGAGGAACCGGACGAGGGACGTACCTCGTCTCTGCTTCTGAGGACGCGTCGCGCAGGGACTGAAGAGCCGGACGAGGCGAGGAAGGCGTCGCTCCTGACACGGCCGAGGCGTGGAACGATTGGGGAGGACGAAGAAGACTCGAGACTTCGGGCCCCGTCGCGGGCAGCAACAGAGCTGGCGCCATTGCCAGTCTCATCGCGTGCCATATCTAGAGACTACTCGGCGCCTGGAGGTGACGCGAGCCTGATGACGTCGACGGCTCTCCCGCGACGACGTCTCGGGCCGTCTAGCCTCACCTCGCGTTTGGCCGTGCCCGCGTCCCCTTCAACGACGACCACGGGACGGCGGTTTGGAGGCGACGGTAACACCAATAACGTCGCAGAAAAACTGGCGGAGGAGAGGGCACCTCGGTTCTCGTTAGGTCAGACACTCTTGGGCCGAACGACAAGCCTCAGCCGGAGGGCTCGCGACAGCGTGATGATGAACTCGCCCGCAACTCCCCAAGCTGGAACGTACCGCTAAAACAGAGACAAGCGCGAACGAGAAATGGACAGCCTCGTGCGCTGATTCAAGTTCTACATGTATTCACTTCTACCCTCTACCCTTTCTTGAAAAGGGACGATTTATGCCAACCTTTGTCAACGCAATTAACCAATGTATTATTACGCCTCTCTTTTTCGCCATCATCTTCTTTCGCCCTCTATTCTCTCGACCCACACTAGAAGAGCCTCCTCGCCTCCTCGCCTCTTCTTTTCCTCGTCTTTTTCTTTGTTGGTACTGGGCATCTTTTCGTTTTGTCTCTTTTCTTGTCACTTTCTTTTCTGGATTAATCATTTTTGATGTCGTTTTACTCTCTTGTCTTCCAACCATTACACGAATGCCACTGATCCTCGTGGAGGTTGAGGCCCCTTTCATGTCTCGGGGTTCTTTCCTGTCACCATCATCATTTCCCATTCTCTCGATTGGGACTCATACGCAGCGACTGTTTTATCTTGTATCTTGGGGAGGGGAAACCTTGCCATCACGGAAACGCAACAACACCCACCTTTTTGACCCGCATTGTAATGACGGCATTGATGATCTTCTTTACGAAAGATTGGAACTCGACTGTCGGCGTTTTTCTCTTCTTTTTCTTTCTTGTTCCTTTTCCTCTTCTTGCAGTCTATTTTTCTTCTCTGATCTTGTGGTGGTTTCTTGCCTCAACTGGGCCGCGTTTGTCCTCTCGCAGTCTTGTCGGGTGTCCTTGTCTTCCTCTCTCTCTATCTCTCTCTTTCCTTCAACCCGGCCCACCTTGCAGGCGGAGAAATTACGCTTCCAGCTGTGGAGCTCGATAGGCTTCGCCGGCAAATGACGGGGGTGGGGGCGAGAGGAGATGGCTGGTGAAATAGAGAGAGAAGTTGGGGACAATTCAAAGTTTTGTATGATATTGAAGTGGTACATAAAAAGTATTTACATATTGTTCACGCATCTATTCAAGGGCTTGCAAAACTAGAACTGATTCTTTACACGTATCCTACTAAGCTCCGTTGCTTGCATCAGTTAGTGCGTAAGGCCTCGGTTGACCGGGTTGTCCTCAAAACCTTGTGAGTCGGCGGCTGCCTGACGAGTCATTGTTCCTGGGGCGCTAGCTCTGGGAAGGGCCGGCGAAGTGACTCCCATTGGGAGGTGCTGGGCGGGCTGTAGTGACTAATAGTAGGCGCATGAATACCGGCGTTTTTTCTCCTAGACAGAAAATGGCGTATTTTGGTAGGCCATATCAATTAATCCATCCATGGATTAGATGTATTCATACCTTGCCGAGCTAGAGGGAGAGTGTGTGCTTAAACGCGGTTTGTTGATGCTAGCTCCCTCTCAGCCGCGAAGCTGGAGCCTCGCGCCTTGCAGCTGCTGTCCCCCCACTTGACTCTGTGCCCCGCGTTAGCTTGCGCCCCGCAGTCGACTTTTGCGAGAGCTTGGGAACGGAGATCCTAATACTTCTATATAACATCAAAGTTCGTCGTCGCCCATTGCCCATTTCTTCCTTTCCCATACGAAGGGTACCAAAAGAAAATACAGATAGAAACAAAAAGGGGAGAAGAAGGACGTTTCCTAGACAAAAGTTTCTGCTAGTCCGTCTTTTCTCAGATCTGTCCATTCTTGCCTAGGAAGCTTTTCGGTGCGGGAGGTAGAGCTCGCTCGTTTGCTGCGCTTTCTCTCCCTTTTCTTCTTTTCTTCCAGTTCCTATTTTAAGGGTTCGTTTGACCTTGCACAGGCCAGAACAGAAAGCGCAACCTGATTCAACAAGGCAAGAAGGTGTTTCTTCCGCTTTCCACGTAAGCGAAACGTACAAGAGGAGGGAAAGCACCAACCAGAGTATACGATCGCACCGCACTAACTCTTTTCCTTGGATTTTCCACTTTTTGATTTGAAAAGTGTTAAAAAAAAAGGGATGGCGGACGGACTGGAAGATAGGGCCTACGCCGCGGCGGACAGGGGCGGGAGAAGTGCAAGGGGAAGGGGAAGAGGTGGGAGAGGAGGAGGCGGTGGGATGAAGAGGGAGGTGCAGATATCCAAGGCACTGTCGAAGCTGTTGCGGCATCAGGCGGCGAGCGCCGGTATCACTCTCGATGAAGGGGTTACGCGAGACTGGACCAAGTGGTAAGTTTTTTATTCTCTTTTTCTTTTAACTAGGAAAGGAGGGGACAGATTGGTTCCCTTTTCACTATCAGAACTGGAGAAAGGGTGCACGACCGCCATCAAGAAGATTTCCTGGACTCCCCCGCGACGGTTTGAAGAAAAGAAAGACTCAAGAGCGACTAACACGTTGCCCTTGTTCCACTCGCAGATGGCCTGGTCTCCCCTCCGCAGCCTCAACGTAACCTTTGCCGACATCGCCGCCGCCGTCCGCGACAACGACAAGCAGCGGTACGCCATGAAGCCCAACCCAGCCACCAACCCCACCGCCACGCAGGCAGAGATGTCCCAAGGCAGCGAAGCCCCGCAAGCGCAAGCGGGGAACCGGACCCCGCCGCGGCCTTTTCCTCGACGGACCCGGCCGACTGGCTCATCCGCGCCAACCAGGGTCACAGCATCGCCGTGGCCGCCGAGGGCCTCAACCAGCCCATCACCCTCGAAAAGGGCAACGTGCCGGCCGTGGCCGTCCACGGCACCTACTTTGCCTTTTGGCCCGCTATCCTGGAGAGCGGCGGCCTGCGCCCCATGGGTAGGAACCAGGTCCACCTCGCCACGGGCGTGCCGGAGACGGCGAACCCCGACGCGCCGCGCGTGCTCTCGGGCATGCGGAGGGACGCGGAGCTGCTCATCTACGTGGATGTCGAGAGGAGTTTGCGGGACGATGCGATGAAGTGGTGGATGAGCGAGAACGGTGTCGTGTTGACGGAGGGCGACAAGGATGGGTTGGTGCCTACGACGTATTTTAAAGAGGTTGTGGGGCGGTCGAGGGATGTGGGCGTGCTGTTCAAGGATGGGTATCAACTTGCGGATTTGCCGCCGGGGACTAAGGGTATAACCCCCTGGAAAAGGCCCGAGGAGGGGTGGCGGTCGCGGTGGCCGCGGGAGAGGAGGTGGTAGGTAGTAAAGGGGTGTGTGAGATGGGGATCTGGTATCCGGGAGAAGTTGAAGGCTCTTTGGCGGACGTAGAAGGGGCTGATAGTAAATTTACTATATTATGTATACGCATTTTTCTTTCAAAGCACGGCATCTCATCTTCTCTGGGGGAGCGGGGCCGTTGGTCAATCGTGTATAGACCGCAAGCTCAAGGACGGACGGGTACACGTCTCGTGCTATTCTCTTGCTTCACCAACCATTCCAGCACTTGCTCGACAGATCTATCCAGGGCATGCTCCATGAGGACTTTATTCATGTTCCCAAGGCCGGGAGGGATCAGGTGAGGGCCCTCGCCAAAGTTGACGCGGACGTTGCAAAAGGGGGAAACGCAGCCTATGTCACCCGGGCGGTAAGGGGAAGAGGAGGGGGTAGGATCAGTATTGTGTATCAGCGTCAGGAAGGCGGGGGAGGGGGAGAGGAGGGCAACAAAAAACATACCTCGACAAGGGAAAATTGGGGGTTCGGAAGCCCCAACCGGCCGCAGATTTCCTTAATCTGGTCTTCGTTACTGATCGACTCGGGCGCCTCCGGCAGAGGCGTCTCTTGCTCGGCAAGGTGTCTGCCTTTCCATTTAGCACATGGTTCGTCGGTTGGTTCCGAGTCGGAGGAGTGGTCTAGGTCGTAGCTGTGGTCACTCACGGATTCGGAGTCGGCGGCTTCGTCCCCGCCCTGGTCTCCTACCAGCGTGGGATCGAGGCTGCTAACCGTGCCAAGGAGTGGGACTTGGACCGAGAGGCCTGAGGGCCCCGCGAGTTGCACAGGGTGGGAGACGAGGCCCGAGTCGGCAGTTGGAGGTTCATGAAGAGCGGCGGCGGACGGGTCGGGCGCGAAGCTGGTGGGGTTGGGCGGGGTCGGGGTGGGGGTCGAAGTCGGAACGGGAACGGGAGCGGGAGCGGGCGCTGTTATGGGCTGGGAGGGAGGCATAGATCCTCTCCGTAGGTTGGCCGCATTGCCACGGTCTAGAAACAAGAGAGCTTGATGGGCCGCGTATTGCTTCGCCTCCTAGTAAACCATAGCAAGACAAAGAGAAAGGATGAGCGGATTAGAAATGAAGCAAGCTTTCAGCGTTGATGCGGCGGCCTGGGGTGGGGTGGGGGCGAGAGGGTAAGGCCGTGAGACTTACCTTTTTCGAAGCGAAGCATGGCATGCAGCCATCGATAAGGCCGCAATCCAGGCTGGGGATTATCTTCTGTCGATCGATGAGAATGTAGATGCAGCCCCATTTTTGAAAGGGGCCCATTTTAACCTCGAAGAATCGGTGGTCTAGCCGAAACACCTGTGTTTGTGACCGCGCTGCTTGGATGTTAGGAGAGCAGCTTGCGTGGTATGGAGAGGTGCGTTCCCACAGGCACAGGTCGATGCAGTGTTGGACACAAGGGGGGAATCAAGCTCAAGCTAGGACCGACTCACTGGTCAGGGCCGAGACGTAGTCTGGCCCGGTGGCATCCATCTCTTGTAGCTTTACGGGGATGCGCATAGCGCCTCCCTGGCCGTCCGGGACATCGGCCGTGAAAGGCGAAGGCTGCGAGACCGGCCTATCTCTCTGGCGGACGGTGGCAGGCGTGGACGGTGATCTGGCGGGGGATCTCGACCTCTGGGGTCGCGGCCGCGGCTGGGCGCTCTGCTCGGGTGGGGTGGAGGCCCCATCTGGGGTGACGCGGCTTGGCCTCCCGGCGGCGGGGGCGGGGCGACGCATATCCCCGGCACGAGGGCGTTGAGGGCGTGGCGCTCCTGGGGGTTGAGGGGCGCGGGACGCCCGTGTTCTTGCTCGTAGAGCTCTTTTTGGAGGATCCAGTGCTTGAGGAAGTTCCAGGGGACGGTCTCGGGCGGCATTGTGTGAAGAGGGGAGGAATGGGTTGGAGAGGCGAGGGGTTGGGGGAGGGAGGGAGAACGAAATGAGAGTGCGTGGGTTTGGGGACTTATTGTTTTATATGGACGAGGGGTAGCTAGGCAGTAGCAGTGAAGCAATGATTATGGCTGGTGCGAATGGGGGCGGAACTTGGTGAGCTTCGTTGAGGACGGGGTGGATGATGGCAGAGTGAGAGCTAGAGTTGAAAGGAAGGAAGAGGGGAAGATGAATCAGAAGGGCATGGATGGCTATTTCTAGCTTTTTCCCGCCCTCTTCTCTCTGGAAATGGGCCGAGATGCAAGATGGCCGAGATGGAGTTGGTTGGTCGGTTTGGTGTTGGATACTGATGGATTGCAGCTTGAGTGTAAGTTGACCGGGCAGGTTTTTGGGAGGTGGTGACGGTCAACTTGGAGTGCAGGAGCAGCGAGAGCCTTCCACGCATATGCAACCACTCCATCAATTAGATCTATTCGACGGGGCCAAGTACCCAGCATCCGCAAAACATCAATGTCTATTGACCTGCCCTTCCACCACCATCCCAGGCACGGCTTAAGGGATACATGTACCGAATAATGAGCTATCCCATCTCAGTTCTTTTCTTGACTCATTTCGCATTTCATCCCTCTTTTATTCAAAGCTTCAACGTAGGAGGATGAGAGAGAAGAAGCTGTCGCGTTTCTTTACCTTTTTGACTAAACAGCCTCATGCCCAAAAGAAAATGGAAGCTGATGGCGAATTTGAGAATACTAACTGGCGCGTTGCGATATGGAGCCCGCTCACAATTCGCAAAGACTGTGCGGGGAGAGGAAACGGCAGGCCTTGACCACGTCGTCGCCGACCAATCTCGCCATCTCCGCTCATGCAACAGGCCAACCCATCTCGGGCCTTGATGGCTGATTTGCCCATAACTACAGTATGAAAAAAGCGGGAGTACTTGAATGAACTCGATGTGCCATTCATTCCCTTGGTTACAAAGTATTCACGGAGCATCGTAAGGGAAGAGCGGATTAACCCTCCCCAAAAAGAACTAGGGGAAAAAAGACACTGAAAAAAGAATCAATGTACGGCGTGGAGGTGGCCGTGGGCTATAAACATTATGCTATGCTCCGAGCTCTCTTTATCGACCACTGATAACGATTGATGCAAAAGATAATCCTGCCTTCTTACGCCTAAACTCGCTGACATGCAAACAGGGCTGTAAACCCTCTCTTGGCGAGAGGGTTCGTGTGAACTCGTGGTATCGGACAATGGGGAAGAAAGGTGAATAGTTGTGGGAAACAGTAAAAGCAGAAGAGACGTGATACCAAAGGGAATAGGGGGAAGGGGGTCTAAGGGGCAACCGGACAAGCGAAACTAAGCCCCATCTCTCTACCATACACCACACATCGTAATGCCTGGTTTAGATAAGAAAGAAGCTCTCAAGATTTTCATCACCGCCGCCATGGTCGTCGCCGTTGTCATTGTCATCCTCGCCATCGAGACTAGACGGCTTGTCAAGGCCTTGCTGTTTCTCGGCCAGCATTTCGTTGTTGCGACGGATGAACTGCTGCCATCTCGCCCAAGTGGCAGCTGCGCCACCGGCGTTCCACTTCCGGAAGCCAAAGAATCCGAGTCCCTCGGGATCCTACTCCTCGAAGAACCCATCGCTATCGCTATCCGAGTCGTTGGGCATCGCATTTCTGCTCGTTTCGCGAGCGTTCTTCTTGTAAGATGTCGCGCCGGCTTTGCTCTTCGTCGTCGCTGCCTTGATTCTTTGGCAGCGGGTTCTTCGGATTCCCTGTCCGCCTTGAGGACCACAACGTCGCCGTCGGGGTTTCGGTCGCGCATCTTCTCGAGGGCCCGAGGACCCCGGGCGAGAGCCTCCTCAATCTCCTTCCACATGGGAGGTCGCTCGGCGTCGAGGGCGGCCTTGGCGGTGGGGGTAGTAGACTCGTCGGCGGCCGAGCCCTTTTGGGGTACAGGCTGACGTAGGCCTCGAGTAAGGGGAAGTAGCGTGTGTAGGCGACGTCCACCTCGGCGACGTGGAGCTGGGCCTTGATCTCGTCTGATTCCGCCGTTTTCAACTGCTTCGTGAGCTGCTTCACTAGCCGCTCGGCCTTTTGGCGCTCTATGTGGAAAAAAAAAGAGGAATGTTAGCCTCTCTAATTAACCTCGCCTCTCGGCATCTAGAGTTGGAGGCTTGTCTGTCTTAGAAAACAAGGAACGAGGCAAGACGCACCGAAAAACCGAACCATGTGGTACTTCTTAATCATTTCGCTGCGCTTCTTCCGGTACGTAAGTTCCGTAATGGTCGCCTTGTGTGCGGCAAGCTCCCGCTCGAGTTCGACCTTGGTGTTCCCCGGCACGTCGCTGCCCTTGTTGAACAGGCGCTCGATCGTCCTCACGCGCTTCTTCAGGGCGTTGATGGATCCGTCCTTGGTCTGGTTCTGGGCTTGGCCCCGAATCGGTGCCGTTTGTTCGGGCGCGGGCGTGGTTTGGAGTCGTCCGAGGCTTTGTGCATGTCGGAAAAGGATCGCTTCGAGGATGCCATTTTCGCTATTTTTTGTTTGGGGAAGGTGGTGTGTAACTATGAACCTGGATATGGCAAATGAATAATGAAGGTTGAAAACATAAACAAGAAAAAAACTTGGTCCCCCTTTTATTTTTTATTTTTACTTATAAGGACGGGATTGGGGAGGGGGAGAGGGTGGAGGGGAAAGGGTAGACTTTGCGCCTGTGACTGAAGCTGGTGATCAATGGAACCCGTCGAACAAAGCCAATGCCAACGACTTCAAGTTTTTTTTTTTTTTTTTTTTGAGGGGCCTTTTTCTTATCAGCCACTGGGACTTTCCTTTGTCTCTGCTTATCGCCTCGATCCTGGATCACGTGGTGGATCAAGCTCTGGTGGGGCAGTTGCATTGGGGAGTTGGGGAGCTCCTTCCTCCCAATTCAACCCTCCACCGTTGGTTGTTAGTGAGTTGGAGATGAACTCCTCCTCAATCCCTCTCACCCTTTCCAAAGGAACCCCATGAAGCTTCCCTTGCCGCCAGTGTAAGCCCTCGGAAATGGGCATTTTTCAATTGGCGAGTTTGAAGCGCGTATAATTGATATCTACCTTTTTTCTTTTTCCGGGAAACGGCTGCCAATCTTTCTGACCTGCTCAGCTCATGAGATAACCCGAGGTCTTGCCTTGAAAAGGGCACCCCAGCTATGCGATAACTTGTCGCGCCGGCCCGCCTCTTACGATATCGCTGTGCTTCTTCTTCGAGAACGCATGGGAACTCTCTAGGATCTGGGATCGAATTCTCCCCGTTACTCTTTTACCAAGCACCTGCTGGCGCCTAGAAAACAACCCCCCAACGCCCACCCCGCCAAACTGTGAGCTCTGCTTGCCTTCAAAGGGGGCGCTACTCGCATTCTCCTCTTCCTTAGGAACGCCATCGCGCTGCCGCTGGGCCGCGCAAGCCCCGGTATCCATGGATCGCCCGGAGCCGGGCCTGGTCAAGTGGTCGCCGAACCCGGACCACGAGAGCTTCATCCACATCAACCTCCAGCACCGCGTCGTCCAGCTCTACAAGCCCACAGGCTACGCCCGCCATGGCAAATTCAGCTACGACCACCTATCCAAGCATGACGACTTCCCCCGCTCACCACCTTTGACTGGTCCCCCACCACCCCGGGCCTGCTCGCCGTCGGCACCGGCACGGGCATCGTCAACCTCTTGCGGATCGACGACAACTCCAACGCCTACATCGAGCTGGGTCTCAAGATGACGCGTACCTGCCAGGCCGTGGCTTTCAACACCCAAGGTCTCCTTGCCGTCGGGTTGGACCGCGTGCGTATGGATCAGTGCCTCCACATCTGGGACGTCAATCGCCTGTCCTCGCTACCTCAAAACATCTCGGGCTTTCCCCAGGATGTGTCCCCTTTGCCGAGTCGTTGATCCGTCTCGAGCCGAGTGTGTCGGTATCTAGCATCCGTTTCTTTGAGGACAGCCCTCAAACGCTTGTTGTGGGTATCAAGGCGCAGGGACTGCGCATCCACGACCTTCGTGGTAAGTAGCCGAGCTTCTTCCTATTTTCTTCACCTCTTCACGACACTTACATCATATCAGAACCCAACAGCGTGGTCAACTTTCAAACAAGATGCAACAACAACCTATGCATCGACTACGCAGACCAAAACTACTTCACCTCTTCCGCCCTTGACCAGCCCGGCATCATGATTTGGGATCGCCGGGCAACCGGCCGGCCCGTCTCCTCCCGTCCTATCTCCAGGCCGTCGACGAGGACGATGTTCCCTGGGGAAGCGCGCTGCAGCTCAACCAAGTCATAGAGATGGAAGCCCAACCCTCGATGAGCGATAGCAAGCACTCCTTCATCCGGTCGCTTCGATACTGCCGCGACCAGCGGGGCCTCCTCGCCGTGCTATCCCGCACCGGCCAGGTCAAGGTCCTCAAGACAAACAAGGAAATCACTACCCCGGACCCCGAGTTTAACAACTCACCCGAGCTCCTCTCCCTCCACAGGTCCCACGAAATGGACATACTCAACTCCTCGTCAACGCGCAAGAGCGATAGAATTGTCTCGTGTGACTGGATCACCGTTGGCTCACCCGTTCTGCGGCCTCGTCTGCTCGTACTCCGGGCCAACGGCTCGTTTGATATTCTCGAACAGCCGTCCTATACGTCGGACTACGTGTATAAACTGACGCCGTGGCAGGCTCCCCATCGCGGCCTCCAAGGTGAGCTTCCGGCCCCACCCACAAGGGGCACCCGTCCTCTAGAGCCCCCTAAATTAACTAACCCTCGCCGTGCTGATAGATGGTGGACCGTATATGGATTTGATGCGATTTGAACCAACCCAGTCGCCCGATATATTGGGCCCCTCCTAGTAGACCAGGCCCTCAGTGACGTGCCCATATTTGGCGACGACAGGGTCGATCTCGCCGCCGTGGTAGAGCAAGCCACCAACTCCCAAGCCTCCGACGTGGGTCTGCTTGTGGATTTGGAAGCCTCTGGGGATGCGCTTCCCGAATCCTTCACCAAGGCGTCCACCACCGCGGAGAAGCTGCGCTCCCTCCGAGCGCACGTCAAGGACAGGTCCAAGCCCGCACCGAACAAATCCAACGACAGGCTAGTTGATGCCACGTCGAACCTCTCCCTATCCGCCACAGGTCCCCTACTAATCGTGAGCTGCACGATGAACTTTTATCCACACTTATCGAAGCCAAGGGCCTACCGTCGGAAGCCCGGGTCGTCATTGATCACACGATGCTCTTACGCGCAAAGGAGAAGTATGCTTTGGACCCTGCGATCAACAAGGCCGTCGTAGGTGATGACCCCTGGGTCAGGTACTTGTGGCTCTGGATATCCGGTATGTTCCCCTTGCTCCTTCTGCGATCTTCCGGCCTTTTTCTTTTTAACCCTCCCTTGGTTTTGGGAAAGGGGATGTTGTATGTGGCAGAAGCTAACGTGAGGCTGGCGGGATGCGTAGATGCGGAAGCGGCGGCTGAAGAAGGCAGAATGATGTCAAATCCGTTGGATCTAAGCTATCTCGGCGTGGCCACCGTTTGGATGAATGACCTCGGCCGAAAGCCTTCTACGCGTCTATTGGATGGTGCCGCGCCGCCTGATGCTATGGTTTGGGAAAGCTGCCTGGAATCTATTTGCCAGAAGCGGCGGATACCCGAATACGAAGGTAAAGTGGAAACAAAGAAGCCGTTCCACCGGCAGATTTGCCTCGATATCTGCACGTGGGGCATGTACGAGGACAACGAGAGCGGCAACCTCTTGGAGCCGGCGCCCGAGTACCCGACGACGGTGCACACGATGGCGACGGCCAAGGCCCTGTTCCGGGGCAACACGAAGCAGGCGATTCGGATCCTCAAGAAGGCGAGCGGCAAGCATCCGGAGCTGCTCTTCGTCTCCCTCGCGCTGCAACTCGTCGGCAAGGGAGACCGCGAGCTCGCCAAGGAGCACCTCGACTTTGACGAGGCGGTGGCGTCCAAGACGGACCCGTACCTGAGAGCCATCTCGTCCCTGATCGCCACGGGCGACTGGGCCGCCATCGCCAACCAAAGTCGCTCCCGCTTCCGGACCGGGCCTACGTGGCGGTGCGCAACCTCTCGGATGACCAGCTCACCGCCTGGCTGCGGGAGCAGGTGGACGCGGCAGTCGACGGCGGCGACGTCGAGGCCGTGGTGCTAACGGGCCTCTCGGAGCGCCTCGTCGACGTCTTTGCCCGCTTCATTGAAAAGTTCAACGACTTCCAGACCGCCACCCTCGCCCTGTCCATCTGCGCGCCCCGCTACGTGGACGACTACCGCTGCCTCGCCTGGCGCAACGCCTACCGCGCCTACCTCCAGCGCCACAAGGCCTATCTCGAGCGTACAAAGTTCGAGGTCGAGAGCACCAAGCGCAGCAAGCGTGCCGGCCGCCCCACCGTCAAGCCCCCGGCTCGCCAAATCGCCCTCCGCTGCGTCTACTGCGACGCCGAGACCAGCCTCGCCCGCCTCGACAGCGGCAGCGGCGGTGCCGGTGCCGGCGCGGGGGCGCCGCCTCCTCTCTCACCGACCAGCACCAGCACCAGCACCAGCAGCGCAACCCCTCATGGCCACGAGCGTCAATGCCGGCGTCAGCTGCCCCAGCTGCGGGCGCCACCTACCCCGCTGCGTCGTCTGCCTCGAGGTCGTCGGCGTGCCCCGCTCCGACCGGCCCGAGGTCAACCCGGACCCGGAGGTGCGCCTGGCCGCGCGTTTTCCTACGTTTTGCTTGCGCTGCGAGCACGTCTTGCACCTCGATCACGCGCGGCAGTGGTTTGCGAGGCACGCCGAGTGTCCTGTGCCCGAGTGTAGGTGCAGGTGTAACTTTCGGGCGAACCCTGAACTCAACTATCGCTGAAGGGGGAAGTGGATTCTACACATCCACAATTGATATATATATATACATATACATATACGACACACATAAGCGGGGGCACGTTGCATGGAGATAGCGACAAGTTTTTGTGATGCAAACCAATGACGCCTTTTTTTTGTTGTATGTTTTGGTTTTGGCTTCATCGTATTTCCCAATCATGATGGAGAGGGTATTGGGGGCGACGTGCTAGGGAGATACCTAATGCTGTTCACGAGGAAATCCTGTTTATCTTGTAAAGTACGAGGACCATGAATGCACAATTTGTTTAGTTCACGCGAGAGAGAGCGAGAGAGAGCGAGAGAGACAGAGGAATGAAAAAGTGCAAGGTATGACTGTTTTGTCCAAGATTTCCATTCTATAGCCCCTCTTAGCCATGCACCGTTAAAAACAAGTTGAAAAGAAATAGAAAATGAAAAAGGAAGAAGACGCAGAAGGAGGATAGTAGGATGCATCTCGGCTTTCCGTCACTGCTACCCCTCCACGCATTCTGAGATCCCCTCTCCCATCTTCCTTCAGCAAGGTCAGTAGGGAAGAGAGCAAGAGAGCAAGAGAGAGAGAGAGTCTGTGTGTATGATGTGTGCGTGCGTACATGCGCGAATCCAAGACATGATCTACAAACGAAGAGGGAGATGCCGAGCCAGCCAAGTCAGCCCTGTCAAGCAGGTCTCCATGTCGAAACCAAACCCAAACAGCCAATGGATGGATGTGTGTATTTCTGATGTTGTCCAAGAAAACAAACCAAAAATAGGAAACCAAAGGATAGATGACCAAGAACAAAAAACGAAGCAAGGAAAAAGCGGAAGAAGAAGAAAAAGAAACATAAAAACACCCGGTTCCCCGTACCCGCAATGAATCCCAGCTCGTGCCTGCAAAGAAGGCTTTGGAAAAAAAAAAAAGAAAACACCACCGAAAGCCCCCAACCCGCATTCCCAAAAAGTCGTGTATATCTTGACGCCAAAGGAGAAAAGAAAAGATAAAAATAAAATGATGTGAATGGAGCAAGGAAGCTTGGCTCCTCCCCTTTAGTCGAGCCTCGCGCACTGTAGCGTTGAGTCCTATAAAGGGGGAAAGCGTGGTTCGTATCGTCCCCTTCGTTAATCCTCGACGCCAGCCAGCCAGGGATGGTCCAGAACCTGCTCAATCATGTACCTCTTGTCCACGTCCCTGTCGAGCATGTGCCGAACGAGATCGATGCTGTCATCGCTGATCGTGAACGGCACGCGCAGGTCGCGATCCATGATTTCGTCGATGCTGTAAAATGGGTTCTCCTTATAGATTATGGTGTAGAGCAGGATGCCCAGCGCCCAAACATCCTGGGGCTTGCCCGCATAAGGCTTTCCCGCGAGCACTTCAGGGGCGGCGTAATCTGTAGTGGGTTAGCCTATCATCTTTATAAACCGAGGGAAAAGAGAGAGAGAGAGAGAGAGAGAGAAGGTAAAGAAGAAGGGAGGATATAGTCTTACCAATGGTGCCGACAAAAACCTGAAACGGCCCACTCTTAATGTACGCCGCGCTCCCAAAGTCGATAAGCTTGATGTGGCCCTCGCCGTCCAGAATCACGTTCTCGTCCTTGATGTCGCGGTGCACAACCAGAGCTTTGGTGTGCAGGTGGTGCACCGCCTTGACGACCTGGATAAAGATGCTCCGGCACTCTGCCTCGTCCATGTTGGTCCGGAGTTCAATGTAGTCAAACAGGTCCATGCCAGGCAGACCGTGGGGCACCATCTCGATGTAGTAGTTGGTATCGTCCTCGAAAAAGGCCTCCATCTCCACAATGTTGGGGTGACGCAGCTCCGGCCGCCGCAGATAGTCGAGCACATGAATCTCTAGCGGCACCGTCCCGAGCCGGCGGTCTCGCGTCCACGTGTCCACCAGGATTCGCCGCTTCGTCACGTACTTGAGCACCACCTTTTGGCCAGTCGACTTGTACCGCGCCAGCTTCACCTGTCCGTACGCGCCTTGGCCCATCTCCTCGAGTATGACAAAGTCGTCAATCGTCTTCTTGCGTTGTGGCTCCACTGCCCGGTTCGCCGATCCCCTCTCCGGCTTAGGTGTCGCCGGCCGTGATGAGCCCGTCAACTTCGCCGCCGCGCTCCGCGCTACCTCCCTAAGCTGCCTGGTAATGTTAGATGCCGTGGCTCCTGACGCCCCGGATGACGTTGTCGCCGTTGTGGCTGTCGTGGCCGTCGTTGCCGTGGTCGCTGACATGGCCGGTGAGATGAGGTCTTCTGTTTTATTCGACTCCAGGATACCTGGTACCTCCTTAGGCCTTGGCATAACTGGCTGCCCAGGCGACGGCTGCTGAAGGGGCTCGAGGTGCCCGACACCGGTAGACCCTCGCCGAGTGTAGATGGCGCGAATACGTCACCCACAGCGCATAGACGCATTCCGTGTCCACCACTGCGCTTTCATCTTCGCCCGAAGAGGACTCGCCCTCGTCCTCCTTGATCGTCGTCGTCGCCAAAGGCTCTTTTCTGCTGGGCTGCCTCTCGCTTTGCACCACGCGCATCTGGACATCGATGCGGAGCGACGCCCCATCACGGTGCTTGGCCGGCACACCCTCCGGGCGCATAAACGCCGCCGCCGCATCGGAGCGGCCCTCCCGGATTGCCACGTAGGTCGATGCCTTGCGGAAGTTGTGCTCGGGGACCACGATGCCGTCCACCATGTCGATGCCGTCCTCCTCCGTCAACATCCGGAGGATCTTGTCAAAGTCCGGAATCAGGGCCGAGATAGGTTTTCCGTCTGGCTTTTCGTGGCCAAATAGAGCCCCGCAAAACGCCGCGTTCGAGCTCTTAATGCTGAGGTCCTCGGGCGACACGACAATGATGCCGGCGATGTGGGGAAGCTCGATACGCGAAGTTGAGTGTGGCCCCGCACCTGCTCGACCGTGCAGGGGATGTTGACGGTTTCCGTGTGAGGACACGTAAAGTACCGCCGCTTGGCCGCCTGCGAAAAGTCAACCTCGCCGGTCCTGGGGTCGATGCCTTGGCGGGGATCCGGGGATCAGATTGCCAATGTCCATCCCAGGCTGGATGGCGGCGCCGCTGCCCCAGATCGCTTCCCAGGAGCCAGAAACCTCCTGGACCACGCCCTCTTCCTTGAGCGAGATATGAGCCACGTCTTCGTGGATCTCCTCGAGTACCCAAATGAGCCCGGCCCTCTTCTCCTTGACCCACAAACTGGCCGACCCGGTTGATCCGTTCCGCTTTTGTATCGGAATCACGTCTCCGCAAATGAGGACGCCCCTCGAGCCGCTGGTCCTGCGGCGGGGGTTGCTGCTGGGGCCTCCATCGAGGAGACGCCTCCGTTTACTGTCCGAGACCGCCGGTTATTGGATGCGCGGCGTGGTTGCGACCTAGAATTTGGCTTACTTAGGAGTTGGGCCGTGATGCTTGTCCGCCCGCCCAGGAGGGCAGAGGCCGCGGAGGACGCGGGAGTCGATGGGGCTGGTGTTCCCCGAACTGTCGTGCTCTCGCTCTCGTTTCCGCTCGTCTGCATCAGCTTGTTTTCTAGCCACGCCCTCCTCTCTTCCTGCACGACCTCGAGGATGCCCATCTTGCGCACCTCAGCCTTTGTCACTCCAAATACAAGACACGCCAAGTCATTGGCTGCTAATATCGTCCAGGGCGGCTGCGCCTCTGTCGTGAAGATGGCCTGCGTGGCTGGTACCCAGCGGGAGGAGTGGCCGTGGACCACGGAACCTAGCGCGCTCGGGAATCCGGTCGCGGACACGCCATGGGCAGCTAAAGGCGACAATACAGGCTCTCCGTAGCCAACTAGGAACGGCTGGGCTAGGGTATCGATGAGCTTCTCCTGGAGCGAGACGGGCAGCGTATCGGTAAAAGTTCGCTTGAGGAGGGCGGGCTTCACTTTCGGCTCGTATGCCGCCGGCGCGCGATCTCGGTTCGATTCGGCTCGCGAGGTTTCCGATGCGGGGGCGCCCTCGGCTGGGGCGCTTCTCGCCGCCTCGGCTCATCGGTTCTCTCGGATAGGCTCTCGCGTCGGCCTTCGGTACCGGTGTCGGACGATTGCGTGAGGGTGCTTGGGGAGTGCGCGCGGTAGAGATCCGGCTCGGCGCTAAACTCCCTGTCGAAGATGTTCTCCCCGAGATATCCGCCGGTCCGGTCAGGGGACCGGCCATCGGCGATAGCCCCGGGTGGGGCAAGTTGCCGGCGCCGACCAGCTGGGCCTTGGCAAGGAGCTCCAACATGCTCTGCGCCTCTACGTCACCAGCCACCCTCGCCTGGGCGCTCGCTATGCCCACGGAGGAGGCCCGGTTCATGTGGTCTTTCATATACTCAAGCGAGCGTTTTATTACATTATGTCGATTGTGCAAATATTCTTCGGAGAGGTGGGCGTAGGAGAAGGAGTGAAGAGACTCGGATGGGAACTTGGAGAGGTCTTCGGTGAAGGTGGGCGAGTGAGAAACGGGAGATCGTGGGGTGATGTGGCCAGGCAGGGGCCCGGGAATACTCAGCGACGTCGAGCGCGAAGGTCCTACCGATGGGCTACGCGATGATGCGGTCGAGGGGAGACCGGGAGCTCGGATCGTGGGATGTTGTCGGATGCGACGGAGACCGGATAAGCCGAAACCGTGGTCATGTTCGGTCATAATAGGGGATCTAGGAATGAAAAAGGGCAAATGATTAGCAGCAAGGAGAGAGGGCGGGGTGAGATTTCAAGCTGAGAGTCGGAGGGAGAGAGGACCGGCAGGGCTGAGACGGGATGGTAGGGTTGGCGGGGACTTGCAGGCAGCATTGAAACAATTGCACATGCAAGTGATATCTGATGGTGGGGTTGGACACAAAAACGCAAGGCGGCCAAGGGAGAGACGGAGACAAAGCACGAAGAAAATTAAGGCGATAAGGCGGAATCAAACAAAGAAGACTAGGTCAAAGCTCCAGAGAGGACAAAGAAAAAAGACAAAGGGTGAGAGAGAGACAGAGACAAACAAACAAAGAAGCTGTGTGATACACGTACCGTGTGAGAGCGTCATAGTCGAGAATGGTATGTGAGTCGAAAGAGTACCTATTCGACCTTGAGGGCTCCTGTGCGTCGCGAGGGACGGCGAGGTTCCCTGCGCTTTTATTCCTAGGAATGGAGGGGGCGAGCGAGAGCTTGGGGGCCTTTGCGCGGTGTCCCGTGTTGGTAGGTTGTCCGGAGCCTGGATGGCGGCCTCATGTCAGCTTTCATAGACAAGCAAGAAACACACATATTGACATGGAAGGGAACATGGGAGAAGCAAAGCCACCCTGCATCCTCGGGAGGTTAAGCCAGGGTCAAGGGAGAAAAGCTGACGCACCATTATTGCTATCTTGGCCCTCCGACTCCACCATAATTGGACGCAGGGCCGATTGGGGTGCCTGGATTTTTGATTCTCGAAAGACAAAGTGATAGGAGGCCCGGCTACCTCACAAAGGGAAGGGGGAGGGGGTAAAGGAGAGCACGGGGGAGCTGGTTGTCGTTCAAGCCAGCCCTCTCTTTGATACGATGGCGGAGGCGAAGTGGCTGGGCTCTTGGAAGGGGGAGGGGTTTCGGAGCGCCGGCGAACCAGAATGCTTGCAACGATGATGGCGTAGTAGGAATGCTATTCGTCGAGGTTCGGAAGGAGGCACTCGGCTGACGCCGTCGCTGTAGGTAAGGCTAGGTTGCGTTTGTCAAAAATAGGAATTCTTTGTGCGTCCTGAGGCCGTGGATGACTCGGGATTTGAGGGTAGGAATCGTCTAGGTGGAGGTGCTGAGGGTGAGGAAAAATGAGGTGGGGGGTGGGATGGAAGACAGGCAAGGCAGTGGGTGCGTCACCGTGCTTGCTTCTGATCTCGAGCTCGTATATGGCGGGCCCTTGTCCGTTGAAGCTTTGGGGGTGGTCTCAAAGAAAGAGAAAAAAAAAGAGCTCGTCGCAGTAGCGGGCGTGGTTTTTCGGGGTAGCTGCGTGTCACACTTGCAAGAGCTGGACAATGCTTGGTTCCCCCTCTTCTGGAGCTTGAGGAGCTTGAGGAGTAATGCCAGTGGTATGATGGCTTGGTGTTCTAGGCGGGCGGGAGAGGAGAGGAGGTGGAAGAAAAAAAGACGAGCCTGGATCAGAGGTGGGGGAATTTGGAGGTGGGCGTGATGTTGGCGAATTCAGGTTCGGACCCGTTGGAAGGGTCTTGGGAGATGGATTCAATATTCCCAGTGATAATTCCTGACGCAATGAAACCAGCAATCACCGGGCGCCGGGGGTTCGAGAGAAGAGCTCCACAATCCAGGAAGTCGCTGTATTAATAAGGCACCGCAGACTTGGCAACAAGCGCCCGTGATTCCAGGTGCTGAAAACTCGGCAGCTCCAACGCTTTCGTACCGAGGAGGGCGGAAATAGAGCGTAGACAGGCAACACTTGGAAATGGAAAAAGAAAGAAAATGAAGAAGAGAGCAGGATAGGCGAGGCAATGAAAAAATAGAGTATAGATTTGGTTTAGGTGGTGACTCGAATTAATGAGGAATCCTGTGGAAGCAAAGACGCAGGCAAAGGTTGGAGCTCGGTTTGGACGCACGCAAACGAAGGCAGGGCGCCAATCTCTCCAAAAAGCTCAAGAGGATGGTAGAGAGAGCAAGATTGAGGAACACTGAGAGAGAGGAATTGTAGCTTCCTGGAAAAGGTCGTCGAGCTTGAAGCAAGATAAAACACTGGCGGGTCCTGGTGCGATTTTGAGAACCGACAGAAGAAGAAAAAGGCCTGGAAGATAAGGGAGGAACACGCATGAACCGAGCAGACGAAAAGAGGTTGGAAACAGGATCACAAGACAAAGGAGGGGAGTTTCTGACGGGTTATCCTGGAGCCGCGATGCTGATGGGATGGGTACCGTCAAATGCGGATCAAAGAACCAAACAAGCTCCTCCTTGGAATGACGGCAGCTCGAGGAGAGAAGTGAGGGTGGGACGGGGCATTGTTATTTTTTTCTTCTTCTTCTTCTTCTTCTCCCTTTTGTCAATATTACACTACATCCGACGTATGGATCCATGCGTTGCTACTGCTTCTTGCTTGTGCAAGTTTCCCGAATTGGGTGGATCTGCTTGCCACTATCTCAGCCAGCAGAAACAGGAACCATGATCTTATTGCCTATCTGGTTGAGCTAGACTCACTCCTCAACCGGAACAAGCCGCCCCGTTCTCGACGGAAAGAGAGAGAAAGAAGGCAATAAAAAACAAAAGCCAAGGGGAAAAAAGAAAAAGGTTAAACCTCTATGGACCTGAACGACTTGGAACAACCAGCTCTGTACCTTTTTTATGTCACAAACCACCACTTCAAGCGTCCACGGAACATGTCGCATGTTGCGGGAGGCCATGCTTTTGTTTCCCCCTCGCCCTTTTTCATCACTCTCTCCCGTCCTGGTTGGACAGGGGATATCTCTTTAGGAGACGCTCAGTGTCTCAACTGATCGCCATGGGGTAATTGCACTGATCTCTGTAGGTGCTAGAAGATGTACAGAGAGTCATCGGGGAGAGGTGTCATGAATGCCTCCAATATTCAAAGTCTGGTGGCTCCAGATTGACTCGGCCCGTTTTCGACCTGAAGCTTTGCTCATCCCACTCCCTCACTTCCACGCTTCATGCCCACTATTCATGTCATGGGTCAGTTGAGTCGGCACCTTTTTTCTTTTCCGCCCTCTCCCATCAGCTACGTAATAGCCTTTTTAATCGCTGTGAAGGGCGGCGATGGGGAAGGTCCAGCCCTCCAACACCTCCACTTCTCGACATCCCGTTCTCCTCCCCCAACCATCGAAAGCCGACAAGTAATTCTCGACGAATGCATCCACCCCACGAATTACGACATAGTGCCTGAGGGAACTGAAGTCTAGCTGCTCGAGCAAGAAAGGCCCAGTAGGCAAGGATAGAAGAAACCCCCAATGCTAACTTTCACGTGATGGCCAGGTGTCTATTCGTGGAGCTCGCTCTATGATCCCACTCCTGCACTCTTCGGCCTGCAATCAAAATGCAGGCAGCCCCACACAGCTCGACATCATGTTTGAAGATCAAGATCATCGGGACAGACCGAACCCCCTCCCTCGTTTCCGTCCGCCATGTATCCATTGTGTGTCGAACTTGCGCCCGCTCCGAGTTGAACCGCCCCGCGTTGCATAAAAAAGGACGAGTTTGGGAGAAGAGAGAAAGAAGGTTAAATAAAACGGAGGAACATAAAAAACAGACTATAGGTTAGAAACTACCCATACCCATACCTTGCTCCCCGAGAAAAGCGCGACCAGTATGCCGGGATCATGCTCGTTCCTCTAGCCCCACCAAGGTCGGCCAAAGACAACGAAACCAGCCGAGATGGAAGGGCCTCGCATTGCGCCCTACCGGTTACCATACATACCTATCGACCGACAGCCCAATTCTTCGCCGGAGACAAGCCGTTAGATTGACTTGGTCTTTCTTTAATGTTCTAGGAAGAAAAAGAAAGAATGGATGGAGAAAAACCAAGAACTCGGGGCGCACCGCTTCCAATCTCCAGGCCGGCACCGACACCGACATCCCTCCAGCGCCTCGTTTTCGCCCTCAACACACATCAAACTCGAGGTTCGGGATTACATGTGCTCTTCACCCAGCGGGGCGGGTCGTTTAACACTTCTTTGCGGTATTGTTTTCTTCACCATCTCTTCTTTCTCGAAGTATAACCCCTCTTGGTTCCCTCTCGGCAAGAGTAGCAGGCAGGCTCTCCAGCGCGCGAAGACGGCATGTTCCCATTAGCCAGCTTACATAGATGTCTTGAGACGACTGTGACCGCTTATCAGACAATAGATTGATCTGATAGCTCTCCGCTTTTGTCCGCCCGGCCGTAAGCCCCATCCCGTTCGCGGACACGGACAGATGAGACGGGGGCTGGCGTATCTCTTTCCTTCCCCTTCCCCTGGTTTTGTTTTCATCCTAGCCCTTCTCTGTGTTTTCCCGAGTTCGAAGAGTCGAGTTTTGGCTCATCTCAGCTCATACCTCTCTTGCGCTTGTGCGTTTAGCTCCTCACAATCATTACTACTCTATCAACGCCCCGGCCACATTTCCGGGACTCTGCTCTTGGTATCAGAATGGCGACGGGAGTTGATCCCACCTAACTGTGTGATTATCATTTCCTCTCATCGCAAAGCCCCTAGTCTCTCATCCTCTACAAAAGCAAGCCATCTCGCGCCCCCAACGAGAGCTCGCCGTGAAGGGGATGCCGCGTGAAGCAAGTGAGTCGCATGCGCGATCGCGACACCCACCTCTCCCTCAGGCGTTAGCCCCTTGTAATGAGATTTTAAAGCCCACGGGGTTTCTTTTTTTCTTCCCGTCCCTTTCACTTGCTGACTCTCCTTGCCTCCCCCTCATTCGGTTGGCGTCCGGATGACTAGCTAGGTCTTCCCGATGTGGCGTCCCAAGCCAGCCAAGGGCCAATATGATGCCGTACCAGCTCGACGGCGGTGGGACGGCGGCCATATTTCGTGACCGCCAGCCACATCGCATCACGCTCTTGTCCGCCTATCTCACTCACACACACACACACACACACACACACGCGCACTCTCTCTCTCCCTTTAGGCGACCGGGGCGCCACGGGGCTGGCCGCAGCTCCGGGCGCCCCCAATCAGTCATAAGGCGCATTCTCTCCCTACAGCGAAAGGGGAACATGACACCGCGCGTGTGAGCGCATCACAACGCTCCCTCCCCTCCCTACTTTTGTTTGTTACAACAGCCCGCATATCCGTTCACCGGGCTTCTAAGGCGAGAATCGAAAGGGCGGTAACCTGCACCGGCAGCCACACCGGGTAAGTGGGTTGGTGCGACCAATGGATCTACCTATCCTACAAACCAATGGAGGAGATGGTATGTAAGCGAGCTGAGTGAAAAGAAAGATGAGGACGAGCAGAAAGAGGATGATGATGATGATGATGATGATGATGGACCCTCTCTGCGTCTCACCCCTCCCACATGCCCCGCCGATCTATGTAACTACTAGGACACAGGGTGGGTGTATGTCATGCCAGATGATCTCTCTCTCTCTGGACAGACCACGACCACCCGCCACAACCGCAAAGGGTGTCCATATCCCCGATCACCCGAAACGGAGATATCTCGAACCTGGGGTTATATGAGTAAGATGCATTCCGAGAAACTCCCAGATACTCTAGAACGCCTAGTCTATGACGTGAGAAAAGACGATCACGAGGCCCTGCGGAAGCATTAGGAAAGAAACTCTCTTCTCCATATGTCCCCGCTTACGTAGACACATCCAGCCCTCAGAACCCTGTTTTATTTCATCTTTTGGAGGGGAGTCCTAAAAATAAACATTCTTCGGGTTTTGTTCGGGCTCCTCGAGAGAGCGCTTTGCTCCAACTACGATGATAAACATTTGGAAATTGACGTGTCGTGCAAGCGTTAAAGTTTTCTCGCCGCTGTCAGAGAATTCGCCCCGTGGAGACGAATGGGGCTGAAAAAGAGCTCCGGAAGGCCGGCCACCGGCGAGAAATGGAAAAGGAAGGTTACAGTCAACTGCAGAGGTAGAAGCTGAAGTGAAGTCTGGAGGAACCAAAAAAGCCGCACAGATGTCGGCTCCAGGTTTTCCCCCTCTTTCTTAGCACGCTTTTCTTAGCACGCTTTTTGCAAAGGGCTCTTGTGCACCCCGGAAACGGGCCCAGACGCCAGCGCTGATAATACTGGGCAAGATCTTTTCACTCTGATACTAGCACCACATCGACCGCTTTTTTCAACCTCGCTGATCCATGTCCGGACGATGTGCCGGCGATGGAGCATTGAGAAGCGAAAATGCGGGGTACCCTGGTTGGCGGCTTACGGACGGACTATTCCTTGAGTAGCGCATTCCTCCAGTAAGTTCGATATTCCCTATTTCTTCCACCCACAAGGTGAAGAGGGTAAAAGAGGCATGGGAAGTTAAGAAAAGAAGAGAAAAAAATTGGGTTGTTCGCGGCAAGGGCGACGGGTAAAGTTCAAACTAGAAGGTTGGAAACAATCTAGAGTGAGAAGAAGAAGGTAAAATACACTTGAATCGGCCATGAGTCGGTGGCTTGCTGGCCGGGACCCAAAAGTGTAAGCCAGGAACCTCGGAAAAACAGAATAAAAGACTCAACACATTGAGCATAAGTCAACATTGAAGGCGTCCCGTGCATCAGTGGCAACAAGGTGTCAGTGTCGCCAGTGCGGACAAGCACCAGCAGAATTGGGGGCCAAAGAAAAAAGATACCTCAATGCTCTTGCCTTCTCGTCGAGATACCCCGCCATTCACAAGGGCGACATTTCCCCACTTGTACTCCTGGCGCCCGCCAGTCTGGGACAGCAGGCTCGACAAAGCCGAAGCGGCTCGCCTCTCGCAATTCCCGTTCGGCCACTTGGCGGAACGGGGGAACCATCCAAGCGAAACGCTCGACCGTGGCACCGTGAGGCGTCTTCTGCCGAGCCATGTCGCTTGCGTTCGTCTCAGATGCCCACCGGACGATCTGGGTAACTCTGATCGCCTCGGATCTAGAAGGATATCCTGTGCATGTCTACGCGCTTCTCTGCTCCCCTTCTACGCACGAGAACCTTTTGTGTTTCCTCGCCCTAGACGATGGCGCCTAACTCTGAGAGAAAAAAACGCTCGTCTGGGCAATTTTGGTGAGTTGTCAAAGCATGCCAGCACCTTTGTCGCTCCCTCCATGGATGGAGCAGCGGTTCCGTGTGTCGCCTCCTGCCCCCAACAAATAATCCTACCTTGTTCGTGTCGTTCACACCGCCCTCGCTTCGCCTCGAGGAGCAGCCGAGTCAAGCCAGGTGCTCTTTCTCTTTAGCACGCATTTTGAGAGGTTAAAAATGGTCCCTCGGCGGAAACAAAATTGGGGCGGAGCTGGAACTGAATGGGTCAACCACCGCCTATTATTTGCTATTCAGGGGCGCGGGTGGGTTCTTGTAGCCCCGTGGCGCTCTTTGGCTTGCTTCTGGCGCCCCGCTAACAGCCAGTTGGTGTCGTTGGTGTCCGGAGGCGCAACAGCATAGGGGAAGAAACCAAGGACAAGAAAGAAAAGAAGTGGAAAAAAAAAAAGAAAAAGAAAGAAACCTTGGTCCTTTGAAGGATACAGTATGGAATGCGGATCTAGATTCTGGAAACTGGAGGCCCGGCCAGTCCGGCCATGCCTCCAAGGGCTCCAAGGGCTCCCCCATTTAACCCCTTTCGGCACAAGCATACCTTAACACTCACTACGGGTCCCCAACCTTTGTTTTTCGCGTGCTTCATAGTTCCCGGTCGGGGAGGACTTTGGTTGAGCCATTTTCTGGCAAACTTCTTCCTTCGATGCGCTGTCCCTTGACTAAGAGGACTACTAAATGATGTGAGAGGGGGAAGAGCCTGGAGCGAGGGAGGTTGGTGATCCGGCCGGTTTGCGCGGGCCGGCAAGGAACACTCATGCTTGTACCACCGCACGGTATCATTCATTCCCGAGTGGGCAATGGAAGCTCTCTCGCGGTGCAGCCATGAGACGACTCGAGCCGTTGAATGCCCTCCCCTTTTTTGGGATGTGCAGCGATTTCGAGAGAAGCGATGCAGCTTGGCGCGACCGGGGTCCTTCCCTCGCACGAGCAGGCCATCAAAGCAATCAGAAGCCAGACATAGAGACTTGATGTATGCACTATGCAAGGCGATAAGGTAGACATACTTGGTGGGGGTGAGGATGGTGGTGTCGTTAGGTCCACATGCTGGCAGAGCGAGGGAATGACCCTTAGGCATGACACGGAGATTCAGAACCAGAGAGAGGGATTCACGGCTACTGTTGCGATACGTCGAGTCAAGGTGGTGTGCTCTCTCTCTTCAAATGTTCCTTTCAAGAAGCCCACAACGAGGTTTACATGTCCCGGCCGAGACCCTTTGCAGGCCCCCTGAAGGGAAACGGATGAAGAGATCTATAGATGTCGACGAGAACCGCTCGCCGATCCAAGCCAAAGGAGGAAAAATAAATAGTAAGGGACCAAATAAGGGTGGGAAAAAAGACTTCCCCTGTTGAGGCCCGGCGAAGATCTCCCTCGAATAGAGAGCGGAAAAGAGCACCCAAGGCGAAAGAAAAGGACGGGGAGATGTATCTGTACCTACCATCTCAAGACAGGAGGCGACCTATTATCCTCTCGCGGGTTTATTCTTCCCTTTCCCCATCAACCACCCCCACATTTTTTGGCTGGCCGTTGAGGAATCAATAGTAGTACAGTGCTTGCAGCGCGGGCATACATGATACGAACGAGCTTGCTCCCGCGTTGGGTCATTCGACGCCAGCAAAAAGATGAGGGTGGTCGCGAGCCTTGAGACGAGTCTCGTGTGACCCCCTTCTCCTCCTCTCAGCCTGCTTAGAGATGACCTTTCAACATGACCGAAACCCGGCATCACATGTGTCGATTCGTCATTTCTTTTCCTTGCCATAAACAAGAAAAAAGTGTCCGTGGGACCCGAGACGATCAATAATGGTTGGAAAAAGGCGTCTCTACCGCGAGCAGGCATGTGTGGTCCCTGGCAAGAAGCAATGGGGGCAAGTCGAATCCGTACGGAGTACTTGTCTGAACGGGGACCAGACGTTGATCTCGCAAGTCCCCATTCTTCTGGAAACGCAGGTCTGGAAACGCAGGACCGGTGCCGGGGCTGGATCATGCGCTGACATGGCCGTGCGGGCTGCATTATCGATAACGAGATAGGCACGGTACCGCCACCACCCCTCACCTTGGGACCCGCCTTGCAACCGGCACGAGCAACGAGGCCCCTCTCCTCTCTCCGACGATTCGCCATATGTACCCGTACATTGCTCCGGGGGTGGAAGGGGAGGGATGGGATGGGGGCAAAACTGTACGGAGGGTTCTTCTGCATCTACCTTTGACGAGGCCCTCAAATTCTTCTATACGTCCCCCTTCCCCCATACGACAATTCGTCCGCTAGAGCGACCCTCCGGTCCTGCCTCAACTAGTCTAGACCCAACACATCTGAGGATCTAGAGCCCACCAACTCTGAACCTCCACCCACCCCTTCCCATCACCAGCACTTTGACACTTGACTCGAAGATGCCGATACCTCAAACTAGACGCCACGGCAGGTCGGAAAGTCAAAGCCTGGAAAAGGGGGCCTGACCCGGAGATCGTCCCCTTCTATACACTCTTCTAGCCAGAAAATACTTTTGTAACCCGCCACCCCCTTGCCCCGGCGCGTTCACAGCCAGTGTCCATATCGGTACACTTATTAGCCCCAAAAGAATTCGATACTCTCTGGTTCCGCAAAGACCCTGCGTTCCTGGACACTGTTACCCCCTCTCCGAATAATAACCCCACCATCGCCTACCCTCCCCGAACACCGACTTTCGCTTACCCCCCCGCGAATCGTTCCTTCTGCGTTTTATTCCTTCCCTAACCCGGGATTCTTCTTGCTCTTGTTTTCCTTTTTTCTTTTTCCTCTTTCTTGAGCTGAGCTTTTTTTGTTTCTTCTCTCGCTGATAGCAACCATATTCTTGCTTCTCATGAAACGGGCCGTTGTTTAAACAGTTTCGCGCCTCGGCAGCAGCCGCCCTTCCCTTCCACCCTGTACTCGCGCCACTCCTTCCTCTTATCTCTTTCACTCGGCCGTCCGACTAGACTCTCCCTTCCCCTCTCTTCTCTCTGACCACCACCTAGAGTTTCTGAGTCGTCTCACAAACAACAAGTCTCGAGACTTATAAGCCCATAGCAGCATGGCGGATATGCGAGTAACCTCCGCCAACATGGCCGACATGCCGGTCGCGGCGCACCTGGAAGGCGGTGCCCCGCCCAAGATGAAGAACCGCCAACGGATCCTCCGCGGAATCCAGCGCATGTCCTCGTCGCCCGCGCTCACGCACCTCGGCCGCCCGAGAGCGTCCAGCGCCCCGTACAGCAACCGGGGTAGCTTTTCCTGCGTCAGCCTGGCCCCGAACATGGCGCCCCCGAGCCCCTACGCCAGCACATCGCCCTCCACCGTCGCCTCGTCGGCGGCTTCCACGGTGGGGACCCCTCGGGCCCGGGAACGCCCATGAGCGAAATCTCGTCCTGCGACGGACTCGACAGCCCTTTCATCGGCGTCCGCCGAGTCGACAGCCTTCGCTCGAAAGCACCCGTTTCGTCCACAACCTCGGCGCTACCGTCCGATCTCAAGTCCACGAGACACGATCGGATCGGCGCCAGGGCTCGCTCGGCTTCTCAACCGATGAAGGCGAGGAACGTTCATTTCTGGTCCGACATGCCCCACGAGCTCCGGATCCAAATATTTTCATACCTGGAGCCGAAAGAGCTGGTTCGTGTGTCGCGTGTCAGCAAGTCTTTCTATAAGACGAGCTTCGACGGCCAGCTCTGGACCGAGGTCGATGCGTCCGATTTCTACCACAGGATTCCCGCCGAGTCGCTCAGCAGGATCCTTTCGGCGACGGCACCCTTTATTAAGGACCTCAATCTTCGAGGCTGCGTGCAAGTCGAGCACCAGAGGCGTGCAGAGGTCCTCGCTTACTCTTGTAAGAATCTGGTCAACGTGAATCTCGAGGGATGCCGCAATATCCAACGCGACACCCTCCACGGCTTGCTCAATGGCAACCAGAAGCTCGAGCGCCTCAACTTGACAGGTTTGGCCGCAGCTACCAACGCTACCTGCGATATTATCGCGGAATCGTGCACCAACCTCGAGGTCCTCCAGGTCTCGTGGTGCAAGCAAATGGACGCCCAGGGCATCGCGGCTATCGTGAATGCTTGCCCGCGCCTTAGAGACGTGCGAGCCGCTGAGCTCAAGGGGTTTGATAGCATCGACGTTGCGGCTGCCTTTTTCGAAAGGAACACATTAGAGCGATTGGTCCTCAGTGGGTGCTCTGATATTACCGATGCGGCGCTGCAAACGATTGTCCACGGTGTGGATCCCGAGATCGACATCCTGACCGATCTTCCCGTCGTCTCCGCCAGGGCGCTAAGACACCTTGACCTCAGCCGGTGTGCGCAACTCACCGACCGTGGAGTATCAGCTCTCGGCCCATTTGTCCCCAACTTAGAAGGCCTCCAAATCTCGGGCTGCACAAGCTTGACGGATTTGGCCCTTCAGCCCATCTTTGACCACGCCTCCCGATTGAGCCACCTCGAAATGGAGGACCTGAGCGAACTTACCAATACCCTCTTGTCGGAGCACCTTGCCAAGTCCGCGTGCGTTTCCCGATTGGAGCACATCTCGGTCGGGTACTGCGGCGGCCTAGGAGACGACGGCGTTTTGCCCCTCCTCAAGAACTGCACCAAGCTCAAGTCGGCCGATTTCAACAACACCAGAATCAGCGATCTCGTGCTGGCCGAGGCGGCGGCCATGGTCAATGCGCGATCTCGGCGGACGACGGACCCCTACGAAGCGCCCAAGGCGACGCTCCACATGGTGGTGTACGACTGCGAGAACATTTTGTGGACGGGCATCCGGGAAGTCCTCTTCCGCAACTCCCAGGTCCAGTTCAACGGGGGCCAGGGCGACCCCACCTTCCCCACAGAAATCATCAGCCTCAAGTGCTTCTACGGCTACCAGATGACGGTCGACGAGCACTCGAAGCGGGTTCTTCGGTGCGACCTCCCCGCCGCCGGCCGGCTCGAGCGGAAGTGGGCCGACTACATGCAGGCGAACGAGGAAGCTGGCGTGGGTGGTGCGGGTACCCGGCGCCGCAGGCGGAGAGCTAGGGAAACTCGATTGATCCACGCTGATGAGGAAGAGGGTGGGTATGGCCGGAGCAGCCGCCGAAGGGCGAGCACCTCCCCTGCACGGTCATGTAAACGTGGCAGGCAGGCGTCGATGGACGGAGAAGAGGGTGAACTTGAACGACGAGAACCATTGCGCGGAGTTGCCTGTTTTACCCACATCTTTCTTCTTTACCCTTTTCCCTTTTTTCCAACATCCTTATCTTATTTCCTTTCTGTTTTCGTGTTTTTGTAACTCAACATTTGGGCTGGGGTCTTGTGGAACGGTGTTTGTTGGCGCAACGGTGGCATCGATATATGCCTTGACTTTTCTTTTCCTTTTTACCATTATATATGTGCGCGAAGACACCACGCATACCCTCGCCTCTATCCTCTCATCACTCCCATCTTCTATTTCTTTGTCTTCATTCTGCACGCGATCAGAATAACGGCTTAGATCACTTAGATCCTGGAGGCGGGCTACCTTACAATATCGCAATGCATACTCCGTCAGCGAGGCTCGCGGAGCACCGATACATCATCTTTCTCGGGTTTCTTTTTCTTCTCCTTCTTTTGATCCCCACCTAGGGTTCTCCTGTATATATTATTTGCCTCCTCGTTGTCCGAGGGGCATCCAACCTTTTTCTGCTTTCTCGTTTATTGGGTGTCTTTTTTATTTTATAGCAGGTACTAGGGGACTGCAAGGGTTTCCCAAGGGGTAGGACAGACTGGGCACATACACGAATACTGGCCACTTGTTACTTTGAAATTGATACGATTTTATGCCCTGATTGATAAACTCTTGCACACAATTTCGGAGATCAAGACTCAAGTACTCGAAATAGAACCCGCTTACAGAGGCACGAGTCGCACGGACTTTGCGCGCGCAAGCTGTGGGGTTCTGGTCACCAACACCGGGGGATGACGGCTTCGACCTATTCTCCGAAGTAAAATGGACGGGTTAGGAAAACGAAACATAAACGGCCATCTAGCGTAGCTTCCCCCTTTTCCCACCCCTAGAGGGATTTTTAGGCTTAAAACTCCTTGGAAAGATGGGGTGGCATAGCGTTGGTGCGAGGTGTGGGGTTTAACGGGGCCTTTAGGAGAGATAGCACGATCACGGTGTCTAGTGTAAGAGGGGGAGGGAGGCTCTTGTGGATCTGATCTTGGAGAATACGTGTGGGTTCTCGACGACGGAGAGGAAGTGTGCATCTCGGACTTGAGTCCCTCTATTTCCCCGGGCCAGGCAGCGAGCTTTCGGTTCATTACAATTCGGATTCCGAGCTCCGAAGAAATTTAAGCACTGCGCCAAGGTGCAGTGGCAGACAGGCAGGTATCTAGAAATTGCTCATTTGGCCTGGGTTGGAAATTGACTGAGGCTTCAGCATCCTCCGACGCTTCCTGTCCGGCAATTTGAACTCTCTGTGGGTTGAACCACCCTCCCAAAATATGCAGTTCATAGTTTATGTGTAGGAGAGCTACACATTCTGCTAGAGGTTTTGTACAAGTGAAGACAAATTGGGGTTTCCCCCTCGCCCAGATGAACGATTAGCTCATGGGTGGGTGGAAGGATCATCGGCCAGTATATGTATGTAGGGCCATGCACATGGCCGATCGTTTCGAACTGGTGGTACCTTGGATAGAAGGAAATATATGAGATGAATGAAGGGAAGAGAAGAAGGGGAGAGGGGAATGCAAATCTTCTGACGCGGATCTAAGCTGTCGTTTCACAAGATGGGACAAAACATCACTCATGCCGTGGGAGGTTTGGAAGACTGGCACAACTTTCGAGGCCTGAAAGTACAAGTATCAATATCTGGATATCTGGCTGATCGCCTGAACCGGGAGGGCACTTGAGCTGAGGGGCAGGGCCAGCAATGACAGTGCTGAGCCCGCGGGGTACGGCTGTCTGGCTCGCGAGCCTCCGTCCGCCATTTACCATTGAACGGTGCCTAGTTTCACGTGACCTTGGGCTCTAATAGCGGACCTCGCCAGCGTCTGGCGCAGACGCCTGCTATTAGTATATCTCGATCCTGGTCCAGAACACTCGGACCCAGTGTGCGCTTCCTCGAGCAACCCTGAGGTGACATTGAGAACTAGGTTCCCAGTTGACCCAGTCGCAGGCTGTTTTCCTCCACACTTGTTCGACAAGCTCAGGCCCGGATCACAGCCCAGGAACGAACCAATCCTTGACTCTTCCGCACCCCCAGGCATCATTCATTGCCTTTTCGACCTGTCCTTTTTCTTCAAACCTCTTTTTCCGACGCTTGCCCCTCGCTCTTTCCTTCTCTCAGTCTCCTTTGCTTCCTCGCTCTGTGTGAATATATCCCGACTATGCGTCTCGTCTAGGAGGGTCGCCAACTCCCATCGTCGACGCCCTCGGAATCCCCGATAACGAAATCCTCCCCCTGACCGCTTCGATGTCGTAGGAACCCAAAAATTCCACGCCCCCAGCACACGAGTCGAACCAAGACCTTTCGTCATCACAAGGTCCTTCCCCCATCGACGCTGCACCACCTGCGGCCCGCGCAATTGCTCGCCGGCACTCCCTACACCGTCGCGATCCTCGAAATCCCGTTTAGAAAAAGGAATTTCTCTTAAATAAGCCCCTCTAACCCCTCCACACACACACACACACACATAAGCCAGCGGTTCCTCTCCCCGCTCTTTGTTTTTCTGGGAGACACCCCTCCCGCGCCGCCCTCGATGGCCTCGTACGGATACTCTGCACCTCACGGTGCCGGGAGGCCAGGTCAGCAGCAGCAGCACCCGCAGCATTATCAGCAACATCACCAGGTGCAACAACCCCCACCTCAGCATCACCATGCCGCCTACGCTCCACCCCCGATGCACATGGGGCCCCGGCGCCCCCGGCACGTTTTCGCCCGGCACCAAGATCCAGGTGGGCAGCCACCGTGTCGTCATACAGAAATACCTCTCCGAAGGTGGCTTCGCCCACGTCTACCTCGTCAAGCTCCCCCAGCCCATCGACGGCACCGACTTGGCCGTCCTCAAGCGCGTGGCCGTCCCGGACAAGGATACTCTGCGCGGCATGCGCACCGAGGTCGAGACGATGAAGAGGCTGAAAGGCCACCATCCAATCGTCACGTACTTCGATTCCCACGCGTCCGAGATGAAGGGCGGCGGCTACGAGGTCTTCCTGCTCATGGAGTTTTGCGACGGCGGCGGTCTCATCGACTTTATGAACACCAGACTGCAGCACCGGCTCACGGAGCCCGAAATTCTCAACATCTTCACCGATGTTGCTGAAGGTGTCGCGTGCATGCACTACCTCAAACCACCTCTTTTGCACCGCGATTTAAAGGTCGAGAACGTGCTAATTGTCAAGTCTGGGAGCAAGAAGAGGTTCAAGGTGTGCGATTTCGGCTCCGCAGCGCCCCCAAGGCCGCTCCCAATACCATAGTCGAGTGCCGCCTGATCGAGGAGGATATTCAAAAGCACACTACGTTGCAGTACAGGAGTCCCGAGATGGTGGACGTGTACCAGAAGTTACCAATCGACGAAAAGTCGGATATCTGGGCCCTTGGCGTGCTGCTCTACAAGTTGTGCTACTACACCACGCCCTTTGAAGATCAAGGGCAGCTGGCGATCATGCACGCGAGCTTCCGCTTTCCAAACCACCCCGTCTTCTCGGAAAGGCTCAAGAAACTCATCGGTAGGCAGGCATCCAAGTCTCCCGCGTGATGCGCACTCATGTGCCTCGGCTAACCTTTGTCTGATTCAGCCTCGATGCTCCGGGAGAATCAAGAATCCCGGCCCAATATCTACCAAGTCCTCCAAGAGGCCTGCGCCATGCAAGGTCGCAAGGTTCCCATCAAAGACGTATGTCGTGTCGTACATTTTGCCATCGCACCATGAAGAAACGTTGAATGACTAACCTGGGCTTTCGCCCTCCTCATAGATCTACGCTGCCAACGCAAACCCGTCCTCGCAATCTCGATCTCAGCCGACTTCGAACGATGCCAGACCCAAATCCACACCTGTTGTGGGCGCCACTTTGCGCCCCCGGTGCAGGAGAAAACCGTAATACCCGAAGTGGTGCCAATGCGAAGAGGCCGGCCGCAAGCCGCTGCGCCCACCACTTCCCAGCCACAACAGCCCCAGCCAGCGCCCCAGAAGCGGGATCCGAACCGATCGCCCCAGAGGGTGAATGGCGATCCGTTTGCGGCTCTAGACTCCAAAAAGGGTTCCGGTTCGGCCGACGAGCTCTCGTCGCGGTTCCCCACTCTCGACCAGTTTGATCTCTTCCATGCCAAGGGCATGAAGTTTGATTTTGATGCGCCCTCGTCACCGGCCGGCGAGCCTTCGGAGGACCTGCGGGATCGGGTATCGGAGAAGCTAGCCGACGAAGCATTTGCTCATTCTCGGGCAAGCCCGCCCAAGGCTGCCGACGTACCCAAGCCGCCGGTTAGCACACCGCCAGTGGTACAGTCCCAGCCTCGACCACCATCCATGCTTGTTAGCTCGAAGAAGCTGCCGCCACCCACTGCTTCAAGGCCGGCAGAGATGAGCCGCGCACAGGCGATTATTACGAGCAATCCTGAATTGCAAGCCATCTCTTCAAAGACAAGTAGCTACGTATCTACCGGCACGATGACTACTCCCCCACGTGAGGAGCCCCAACAAAGAGGCGCGCCCCAAATATACCGATTCCCCCTACTGCCGACCAGAAGCTTCCAACAAACAGTGTCGCGGACCCGCACTCCGGAGGGCAGCAAACTTGGAACAGGCCGGATGACAGGTCCTCTTCCGCCAACCGCCCCGCCATTGCGCATCCATCCGGGCACATTCGCCAGCCCTCCAACTCCTCGAGGCCGTCTTTGGAAGGTGGGCGCCCGACCGACCTCCTAGACTTTCCCGAATCCCATCGGGTGGCTTTGGGAGAGAGGCAACGCCCTTCCAGCACTCATCTTGAGTCAAATCTAGACTTTTGCGCGAACGAGAGACGGCTAAAGCCCACAGCCATCTCCACCAACGCCTTCCGAGCCTAAGCAAGACGGCATCGGCGCCATCGGCGCCCGAGGCCAATATTGCCAACATTGAGTCGAATGTCGATTTCCTTCGAAGCATGGAACAAGACGATAAGAAGAAGGACAAAGCTACCAGGCACCGCAGCATTCCTTCGCTGTCGGGTAAACACATCATCGCAGGCAAGTTTGGCGACGCCTTCAAGCGATTCGAAGGGCACGGCCAGTCTCAGCAGCCCCCACCGGCGCGGACCCCGTCGCCTTTGCGCGATGACCCAAGGAACGACCTTGCGCCCGTTATCAGCTTCGAAGCCACCGACGGCCGAAGCGACGACGCCGACCTCCTGGACATGCGGGAAGAGAACATGACGCCCGAGATGCGTCGCGAGGCCGAACGCCTGCGCCTCGAGCAGGAGGAGCGGCGAGTGGAGGCGGCGGCGGCCGAGTATCGGCAGCGCGTGACCAACAAGGAGGCCCCCGCGCCGCTTCCAAAGTCGATTGGCGGGTACTCCCGCGCCGTGAGCATCCAAAACAGGGTGCAAAGCCTTTTGAAAGAGGAGCAAAAGTCGACCACCAACGTCCAGAAGACGGCTCAAGGCTACGGACACTACGCAGATACGGCGGCGGCCCAGAGCCGGTTAGACAAGCAACTACCCGAACTGCCGAGAAAACCGGTAGGCTCATCGACCGGCGGACAGACGCCTCCTCCGTCAAACAACCCCGCAGCCGTGCCAATACGCGCGAGGCCGGCCGTTGGGCCCAAGCCCGTGGCGCCCCGCAAGCCCGTACACCTGAACAACATTCCCACTGGGGTCGGTCGGCGTCGCCCCCAAGTCTGCCATCTATCACCAGTCGCAGCAGCCGGCAGCTCCCCGAGATTTCCGCAGGATATGACGCAGGCGCAGAAGGAGGACTACATCAATGACTTCTCGAAGAGGTTCCTAGCTTAGGCGCCCTGGAGATGGTAGAAAGAGATGTGGGCGCAGAGGCGGGGAGGTCCGGGAGGTGAAGCCGTGGTATTCAAAAAGCAAGTTGAAGCTTAGATACTAGCGGGAGGGAGGCGATGGTTATTTCTTTTCTCCCCTTCCTTCCCCCCTTTGGTATATATATATATACATATCATATGATAGACGAGATGAGTGCATGCATGCATTTGGCGGGTTTCTGCTGTTTTTCTCTCTCAAGACTAAGAAAAAGAAAAGAGCGTGGGCTTAGATGATGAACGTCGGTTTCTCGTTTTCCTTTTCACTTTTTTGCCCTTGTTTTTTTCTCGCTTCCCGCATTTTTCCGACGGTAAATGGTGCACTGCGAATAAATCCGTGGCTTGCATATCTCTTTGTCTCCTAATTGTGTCGGGGATGAGGATTTGGAGGATCGTGTGCGTGTGTACGGATGTAGGATATTCAAGAATTCAACGAGCATGGTGGAGGCGGGTCCGGTGAGCTCGGTGAGCGGATGGAGGGGCGGTAGCTTATCGATAAGAGACACCTGCATTTTTTTTTTGCATCCAGCCATTCCATTCCCCTTAGCCCACCATTGAAAAAAAAACCAGGTTCCTCACCACATCAATCCCACCCAAAACTCGAGACACGATCTTCTTTGGTTGGCCACGTTTGCGAGCAAAGAGAAATTCCCAACTACATTGATTCGAAAAAGACGAGGGTCTATATTCTATCACCATGGCGAAAAGGAAGAGAAACGAGCCCGCCAACGGCGGGGACCAGACGTCAAGGCCGCCTCGGTGAAGAAGCCCAAATCCAACGACTCGTCCCAAGGTGCTGCCGCCCCCTCCGAACCCTTTACGATCCAGATTATCACGGGATCCTACGACAGGATCCTCCACGGCCTAACGGCCCTCGTCACCCCAGACGACAAGGTCGACTTCGCCGACACCTTCCTTTTCAACGCCCACACGACGGCGATTCGATGCGTGGCGCTCTCGGAGCCGTCGGCGCCGGTGCCGGGCCAGGGCCAAAAAGTGTTCCTCGTCTCGGGCAGCACAGACGAAAAGATCAACGTATACAGCCTGTCGGCGCACCCGCCGAGCCGCAAGAACCAGGACCTGCTGGCCAAGGTGGCGCCGCGGCCGATCCTGGAGAACCGCAAGAACCGGGAGATGGGCACGCTGCACCACCACGCGTCGACGGTGACGAGCGTGGCGTTCCCGACGCGGGGCAAGCTGCTGTCGGCGAGCGAGGACTCGACGATTGCGGTGACGCGGACGAGGGACTGGTCGCTGCTGTCGGCAATCAAGGCGCCGATCGCGCAGCCCAAGGGGCGGCCGAGCGGCGACACGGCACCGTACCAGGGGACGCCGAGCGGGGTCAACGATTTCGCGGTGCACCCGAGCCTCAAGACGATGATTAGCGTGAGCAAAGGGAAAAGTGCATGAGGTTGTGGAACTTGGTGACGGGCAAGAAGGCGGGCGTGCTGAATTTCGGGAGGGCGCTGCTCCGGGACGCGGGCGAGGGCAGGCACTCGACCGGGGAGGGGAGGCTGGTGCGCTGGGGCCGCGGAAAGGAAGGGGACGAGTTTGCCGTGAGCTTTGATCGCAGCGTGATTGTGTTTGGGGCGGATGCCGTGGCGCGGTGCAAGGTGTTGCGGGATGCTAGGTCGAGGGTGCATGATGTTGCTTATGTCGAGGTTGGGGAGGAGGGTGAGTCGCTCCTGCTTGTGTCGACGGAGGATGGCAAGGTGTTGTTGTACTCTACGCGGACGGCGGATCTTGTGCATCCGAAGAAGAAGAAGAAGACGACGACGAAGAAGGATGCGGCGGATGCCGACAGCGAAGAGGAGGAGGAGGAAGAGGACGATGATGATGATGACGACGAGGTCCTCCCCGGCGCGAAGCTTGTTGGCAGCGTCGGGGGCAGGGAGGAGGGTGTCCAGAGCCGCATCAAGGCCTTTTCGGTGATCAAGAAGGGCAAGGGTCTGGGCGAGACGCTCTACATTGTCGGGGGCAGCAGCGACGGCAAGGTTCGGGTCTGGAAGGTGAGCGGCAAGGCGCTGGCCGGCGGGGAGGATGATCCGGCCAAGGTGGGCAAGCTGCTCGGCGTGTACGGGACGCAGAACCGCGTTACGTGTTTGAAGTCTTTTGAAATGATACCTAGGCCGGAAGGTGTGGAGGATAGTGATGAGGAGGAGGAGGGTTGGGAGGATGATAGTGATGGCGATGAGGAGGAGGGCGAGGGCGAGGATGAGGATGAGGATTAATGGAGGGACTATCTATCCTATTCTCTTTTCCTTTTTTATGTTTACAATCTTCTTTTCTCTTCTTTCATGTCTCTATTTCCTTTTCCTTTTTCTTTCCATTTAGAAGGAGTTGACATGGCAAAAATGAAAAATCTGCTGGCGAAACCTTGAATGAACGTCGGGTGAGACGAACAAATCCAATCAACCAAATCCTATTCTTATTACACACAGAACAGAAGGACCTCGACTCCGAAGAAATCCCCAAAGGTAGAGAGGAGAGTTCACACATCTCGAGATGTCCATTTACCAAAAAGGCGTCGGGCCAACATTGTTCCCGATGATCAACACCGAAGCCCCGGGGCCGTCGCCAGTTTTGGCCACGTGCCGCATCGTGCAGCGGGGAATAAGTTGTTCACGAGGAGAGAGGGGGAAGTCGTTCCCAACCCATCGATCCAGTGTGGCTACAAGAATTGAATTTGTCTAAATGGAAGTGACTCAGATTTGTCTAGCTGACCGGGAAGCTGTCGCAGATGTTCTTCTGGTTCAAGTTGATTTCATTCAAGTGAGTGAGCGCCGAAGCGGTAGGCTCCGTGTTCACCAGTCCCAGCATCTAGCCGAGATCGCAAGACTCGGGTTGGGGCAGTCACGGGCGGTTCGAGAAAGCGGCTCGGCATGCATGGAAATAAAATCAATGATGGGGAAAGGGACGGTGGACATGGGGGGGCAAAAAACAACCCCCTGGACGAACCCCTGGATCGAGTTGGGGGCCTGGCCCCGTGGACAGAAAATCATCTGGTCACATGGGCGGCATCGGATGTGTTCAACCTTCCAGCGAGTTCAGAGTTTCTCATGAGGGGGTGCTGGCGGGGGAGGATGGACTAGAGCTGTAAGGTGACGTCTTTAGATGGCCTTTTTGACTTGTTTTGTTTGTTTTCACCTTGGGGTTTCTTGGCGAGTGGAGGAGGAGAATGAGGTGAGAGAGGCCGTGGCGTTGCATGTTTTCTTTTGGTGATTTCCAAGGCGCTTGTTCTCATACACGAACAGGATGAAGGGTGTGGGACGATCAGAAGCTATGTTAGAACCGGTGAGGGACGAGGTCTGCAAATGCACAAGAGAGTCCTCATGCAGTAATAAACAAGATCGATACAAAGGACGAATGTCCCGGCGGTTGATATTGTTTTGGTTCAGCATGGTCTAGGTAAGCTAGGGTGTCAGACACGTGAATTTAGGAGAAATCGTTGAGTTCAGGTACTCAGGTATCATTCCCAGATATCCACAATGGATCAAGGAACGGCTCAAACCGTCTACGTAGTGATGTTCTGCGATGCCGTGAACCGACGCTTTGCCCACGAGACAGCCTTCGTTTTCTAGAGGGCCCCTCTAAAGTAGGGTACTCGTTGAAATGGAGCGAGCCGCGTGGGCTATACGATTCGGAAATGAAAACAATTGTGAACTCTTTCTTCATCAATTTTTAAGAGAAGCGAGGCAAGCAGCTTGGTGATCACTTGGATACGCGTATCGCTCCTTCATGGACGCGGGCGCAGTGGGTACTGTCAACGCCTCAACACCGGCGTTTTCGAACTTGGCCAGCCAGCGGCACTTGGGGGCCGCGTCTCACGCCAGGGGTTTTCCCACCCTCGCACCTCACTCCTTGCTAAATAGGCATTCCTGATCTCTGGTACTCACGAGAGCCATGTGTCAGGTGTGCTATGAGTGGTTCCCGTGAATACATGCACACATACGACGGACTAATGTAATATCAGCACGTTTTATTGAACCCTGGGGTAGCAATTTAGGAGACCGCGAAAGATTTGAGGAAGCGAGAGGGGCCAGCCCGGGAACCATTTACCGGGCGGCGGAAACTGGAGGGCCTGCCGCTGGACCCTCCATGGTCGATTTGATATTGAAGAACTAAATTGGTAAATGTGTGCATTCGATCTTGGAAGGGAGCACAGCGTGGTGGGTGTAGAAAAATCGAATGCGCAAAAATACGGTTTCAGGGCTCACCAGCACGAGATCCCCATTGATTTCATCAATTGTCAAGAATCCGCAGCCTCAACGGTTAATTGACCCCGCGAGCAATGCTACACAAAGCTGCCCGGCTCCAAGGCCTGTCGAATTGATCAATCGTTGACGAGATTGACATTTGCCCCTCTCCATTGCTGCCTCAACGTTTAATGCTGCGTTTGTGCTTGCTCCGTAAGCTTTCCCCGTGCCCCTCCACTGCTCCCCCATTGTCCAACCACTCATACTGCAAGGATTCCCAATACACTCTTTCGTGAACGTTGTAGGGCCCCTTGCACCACAGGGACGGCACCCCTCAACTCGGTGGGTACGTTGTCTCTCTTTTGACTTGGAGCCTTTTGAGACTCACCGGCTTCGCTCAAATCCTGTAGAATAAGGCCTTGCTTCCGCAAAAAGGCCACGCCGTTTCTGACGTCAGTTGGAGCGAGGGACGCCCGTCGCCCGTCCCGGCCACCTGAGCACGAGCGCAAGCTCCAAAACGTCCAGTCTTGTTTAGTCCCGTCCTGAGGCGTGGCTTTTGCTTTTGTTTGAGTGCGTGCGCGCGCGTGCTTGGGGAAGGGGAAGAGGGGATAGAAAAGTGGATGGAGGAAGGGATGCCCCAACCAACGCCTCCCGGCCATTCCCCAAGGCCCAAGGCTCGAAGAAAACCCGTCCCGCCAATTGCCAGGATTTCTCTAGTTCTAGGCCCCAAGCTTTTGTTTCGCCTCCCCTCCTTCAGCTCTTCCCTTTTCCCCACCTCCTTGACTCAGATTTGGCTGGGGGATGGGGGAGGGGAGAGGGGAGGGGTGGAGGACGGAAGAGGAGAGGAGAGTGCTATTTTGAACTTTGTACCTTTTGTCCTCAAAAGACAGCTTACTCTCTTTTGCGGGTTTGGAACTATAAGGAGAAAGCAAGTGCCCCTTCCCTTGAAGCTTTCTCCACACTCTCTCGTAACCTCTCTTCGACCCTTTCTCCACCCGCCATCGTCGGCTCGACATTTGGCTCTATACGCGTACCGAGCTTGTGGAACATTCACCCTCGCCCCCTCCGCCTTGCCGTATCTTATCGTTCTCGGTTCTCCTGTGGCCCCCGATCGGCTCTCCTTCCCGGCCCAGGTCCGCTCTGTCCTCCCCACCTTCACCTCCACCTCCACCTCCCACCTCCCACCATCGCCATCGCCATCACCACCACCCAACCACACCCTCCTCTAGCCGACGCACCTCCCTCCTTTTAGCTTGTGCCGAATCAAGTTCTCCGCACTCCATTCGACTACTCGCGGCCAATTACCACCACCACCACGTTCCCAAACAAGCAGTTGCACTCGGTCTTTGTTGCAAATCTCACCCACTCTCGCCCATCGACTCCCATAGTCAATTTCGCAAAGGGAGTAAAACACAGCGAGCTGAGGCAAGCAAGAGGCGCAAGGCAATAACCCGAGTACGACCCTCCCTCTTTCTCCCCACCTCTCCTCTCATCTATTTTATAGCCATCATTGCCTCTTCCCATGCTTTCCTGATTTCGGGGTTTTTTTCTTTTTGGTTTAATCTACGCCCTATTTTTGTGCTCCTTGCTTGTGAGACGAGGGACATCGAGCTCTCGTGCTGTGTGGCTTCCCAATCTTGAATTGGAGCATTGGGCTGTTCTCGGAACATCCGTGTGCTGCTGCATTGTGTACTTGTATTTTGTGCGCGCCTGTGTGCAACCAAAGCTCAACGGTCAAGGGACAGACGAGCTTCTACATACACAAGTACACATCAGCTACACTATATATCGCTTGCGTCCACCCCCTGCTCTTTCCCACAAAGTTTTCTGCATCGGGCGGTTTTATTTCTTCTTCCCCAGATCCCTACCACCCTCCCTTGTGACTATTGGGTTGCAGAGCAAGTTCCCCGCTAATATCGCCGCCGTATTCTCCGCATTCAGTCAGCCACTCCCAGGACGAAGCGGCGATCTCACGCTCCACCCGCAAAACGAGCTCGTGACAAGAGAAAAGGTTATAAAGACGTGCCTCGACGCCGCCCGGACGCGCGCAGCCTCGGGACGGGAAATTGAGCCAGCCAGCGCAAAAGCTACTTGTACCACATCACACCCCACAACCTCGAAATTTTAGTTTTTCTTACTCTTCTATTTTGAACAACCTTTGAACTTTGGCGGCGAGACCTTTGCGCCCTCCCTCCTATTTCTAAATACACACGTTGGCCCGGAGAAGGGACCAATAACCCACGCAGCAGGGAAAATCTGACAAGCAAAGAAGCCCAGCCAAAAAAACAAACGAAGGGGAAAAACAAAATCGTCCATCATGGCGGCGCAAGACGGCCCGCCTCTCCTCCGGCCGATTCCACGACGGCCCTTTGGCGTCAACCTTACCAGCCCTACTCCTCCCAAGACCGACTCGCACCCTACGACCCCGAACCCCGAATCCAGTACGACCCCCACTCTCAACTCCTGAGCCCCAACTTCGCCGAGGGCGACGGCCTAGCCCGCTCCCAGTCCGTCCTCAACTTGACGTCCTCGACCCTGTTTGGCATATTCGGCCCCGCCACTCCCAACCGGGACCGGTTCGATGACGAGCCCGAAACGCCCTGGGGCACCGGTGCCCAGACGCCCGTGAGGCGGCCAGACCTCGACGACGAGACGTACAAGCTCCTGGTCGACCGCTCCCGCGCCCTGCACAGACGAACCTCCTCCTCCCTGTCGCAGCGGCCACGCTCGCCCTCCCCTCGTCCACAGCGCTCGCCTGGTCCATTGGCCCGCGGGTCGGCTTGCTCTTCCTGCTCGGCATGGGCTACGGCGCCCTCGTGGCGAGGCTCCGCGCCGAAAACCCCTCTCCGCCTTTTCTGTCGAGACCATCATGGCCAGGCCGCAGCACGGCTGGGCCTACTTGGTCGCGTGGGGCATCTCGGGCGTCGCCCTCGGCGCGCTCCTGCCCTGGTTCGACGGCGTGTGGCAGATGACATTTGGACCCGAGGTAGCGGAAACTACGGCCGCGACCAAGGAGAAGGGCGGGCGTGCGGGATCTAGGACGGACTGGTCGCATGCGGTCCGTAGCATCGGTGCCTTTGTCGGCATAGTATTCGCCTTGGTATGACCCCCTTTTTTCTTTACTTTAGCCACAATCCACAATCTCGTTTCATGGAAGCGCAACTTTCACAAGACCCCCTGTCCCCTTTCTAAGATGGGTAGCTAACGAATTCCTTGTCCTCCTCACAGCGCAAACTCCCTTGGGTCTCCACGCTCCAAGTCTCCCTCGCCCTCGCCCTCGTCAACCCTTTTCTATGGTACCTCGTCGACGGCACCAAGCCCGGCCTCCTCCTCTCCGCCGCCGTCGGCTTCGCGGGGAGCGCCATCCTCATCGGCATCAACCCGGACGCGATGCCCGTGCCCTCCCTGGCCTTCCACCCCGGCCACGCCGCTGCCGCCGCCCATAACGCGTCGGACAACACGCTCAACCACGCGGCCTCGACGGCGGGCGGCTTCGCGTCGCAGCAGACGCTCGAGGCGGGTATCTGGATGCTCAGCGTCTTGTTTTGCAGTTGCGTTTGCTTTGGGAATATTGGGCGGAGGTTAGCGTTGAGTAGGGAGGCGGCGGTGGCTTGACGAGGGGAGGAAGGAGAAGAAGAAGAAGAAGAGGGAGGATGGGTAACGGAACGTTTCTAAACGTGGTGCCGGTTTCTCTCTCCGTTCTCTTATCTATCTCGCCCTCTTTCAAGCTTTAGTTTTTCAGTAATTTCATTTTATTTATTATGATACTTTTCAATGTTACACCCCACCAATTCCTCCTCCGTTCTCTCAAAGGGAGATGAACGAAATCAACTAGCTTTTCTTACTTGCCCTCGTCTCAAGGTCCCAAAAACGCCAGGAATAGGGATGGCTACGAACGCCACAGGTTTATGATTAAAAGAAAATTGCGTTCATTCACATTAGGGGTAGGGGTTGTTTTTGTTGGAAATATAGTGATCACCAAAAATGGATTGAATGCACCTTTTCTTCCGCTATCGACCACTCGGGCTATTTTTGGCTTTTGAGTTCCAACATGCATCGATTGACATGTGGATACGTTGTTGCCCTTTTGCCAGCTTCCTTTTTCCACCTCCATGGTGTGGATGCTCTGTTTGCCCCCTGTGGCGGGCGGTTAGTAACAGGCCCTTTGCTATGGGAAGGAGGTCGAACCGCTCAGGCTTAGCGGGGAGCAAAGACGTCAAAGGATCAATCAGTCCCTTTTCGCCTTTCCAGCTCCTTGAACAGGTTTATGTGGGTTTCGTTTGGTGGTGGGCCAAGGAGCCGGAGAAGAGTCCCGCTCTCCAAAGTACGCGTCGAAACGTGGAGACGGCCCCACGTCCAAGTAAACTTGGGGGCGATGAAGGATTGATGATCTACTTGTACTATAATAGGGCTCTTTACCAGAGTACGCGGAGTACTCTTAGCTATCATGGGTCTCTCTCTGTACTGTACGAGATACGAGCGATTCAGCTCCGCGAGTAGTGATTTCTCCATATCAGATACGAAGTGATTCTCGACACTAGTCGAACGATCATGTTGAGGTCAAGACGAGTTAGGTCCGATTCACCACTCCAAAGTCCGCGGGATGCAGGGCTCCTCCCTCTTTTTCTTCCTGGGCAAAATTGACGCCCCTACGGACTTGACGAGATAGTTTGCGAGTTAAATGAACTCAATAGTACAAAGTTCAGGGCTCCGAGGGCGGATAACGCCTCTTTGAATGAGAGAAGAGAGACCAGACCCGCGTTATTAGGGCCTAGGGCTCTTTTATTTTCCCTTTTTTTTTTTTAATCTCCCTATCCCCTTTCTCAGAGGCCAAGCTCAAGGGGGCGAAAGGGGCTTGCTGGCGCGGGTTTGTTTCTTTTCTTCCATTCGTGGCGTCTTGGTTTAGTGGAGCGTTTGAAGAGAGGCTCTTGAGGAACGGCTGGCTCCAGCCATGGGGGATGAAGAGGAACTGGTGGCCCCAGGAATGCGGTCCCAAAGCGGTAGGACGAATCAATGGCCTCCGCAACGGTGTCTTGCAGTGGGCATGTATCCATAGATGTACGAGTAAAAACGATGCATGGCTCTGCCGCTCGGTTTGCGTGTGGGGTTTCGTCCTAGCTTCATGACGCAAGGCCCGAAAATGGACCCGTCGCGGATGAAGACTAATGCTTTTGTTTCTACAGTATACGTATTGCGAGGAGTTCTTTGGAAAATCGCCCGTTGAACAAACCAATTCGTTGTTTGAGGAGGGAATGCGAAATGACCATCCCCAAAAAAATTGGGGAGGCGGGCAAACAAAGAAAGAGAGAAGAAAATTGCAATCCTAGACTCCGGGATCCCGTTCCGCGCCGGGTTGACCCCGGACGCGGTGGTGTGAATTCGGTCGTACGAGGATAGGCGGAGCGGGTAAAAACCCCTCCCCAGGAAGCTGAGAGAGAGGCAAACACAATTCGAAGATTGGAGTGATTGAATGGAGCCCTGCGCACGTGTGGTAAGATTTTATTAGGGGCTAAAATGTAAAATGGCCTTGAGCCCTGTTTTGGCTAGTGGGCGAGCAAAGACCGTGAGGGAGGCTGGTGTCGTAATGGCGGGGCCAAGGAGGAAAGCGGCAAGTGCGGACCAGGGCGAAAAGTGCAGTGAAGGCAACGAGACTCAGACGGGGGTGTTGGGGAGAGGAAAGGACCACGGAAAACTTTGGGAAGGGGGCGAACAGCCCACGGAAATGACAGTGGCGTTAGGCATCTTTTTCAGAAGTCTCGACAACCGTCAAGTCAAATAAGGCACTGATGGATGAGCTTGTAACAAGGAACAAGAGACCCACTGATGGAACATTGAATCAGGTTTCGGGGTTGACGTATGCGGGAAAGGCCTCGCCCTGGCAGGGTTAGCTCAGGGGTCCTGCCCGTTCTGGGGCTGGATTGGCGCTGGGGCTCACCCCAAACGTTCAACGCTGGCCAATTACTGGATCTGGGTCTTGTTGTGTGAACAGAGCGACGGAGGTACCAGTGGCCAGGCCCAAGCAGGACGAGCCACCGCAAAACGCGCGGGAATAATAAAGGGCAAGAAGAAAGGACCTCTCGGCCTCTCTCTTGTCGTTTCCGGTTCCTGGTGGGCAGGGAACCTTGCCAAAGGTACACGCCTATTACCCGACCTCGCCCAAGTGGATATCGTTATATATTATCTGAGGCTCTGCTATTCCTGGAAAGGAACGTCCCTTCACTTCCAACTTTTCTTTCCCGGCTGTTTTGCGGACCATCGGCAACGGTGGGGATTTTCCTTTGCTCCATACCATACCCATACCTTGAACGTATATACTTGGACCCCTTCCCCCTCCTCCTGGAATCGTTTCTGGTTTTCACCTTGAAATCATTGTTAAATCATATCGTTATCGCGGTTATATCTATCCTCGAGACGCCTCTCGAGTTTTCGTCGACTCCAGTCTCTCGTTTGGACCCTAATTACCTCATCCATAATCTTGCTGGACAAGAGAACGGCCTCTCTCTACCTCATATCCCACCTTCTCCTCCTTCCTAGAAGCGACCCGAACAGAGAACGTCACAGAAATAACTATGAGTTTTTGAACACCCGCCGGCCCTCATCGATCCTAGACAGTCAGACGCCCTAAAACATCGTCTCAGCCATGGCTTCAACACCGCCGCCCTACATGGCCTCGCCCAGTCTCAGTTTACCGTCATCCTCCGGTGTATCACACTTTACCGCATCTTCCTCGGCATCTTCCGTTACCGACCTGTGCAGTTCGTCGGCCAGCTTGACCTCCTTTCACGATGGGTGTAGCGATAACCCCGCCATCGACCAGCCTGTAGCCGCATCCTTGACCGCAGAGGGGCTTATTGGCCTCTTTCAGTGCCAAATCTGCTCGCGTCCGCTGCGGGACCCCATCGCCCTACCATGCGGACAGTCTCTGTGCAAATCGTGTTTGCCCCAGACATATGCTCGCAAGGGCATCTCCTTCCCGGGACCGCTGCCAGGCGGGAGGGGTTTGCCTGTCCCTACGACGAGTGCGGGAGAGAGCATGCGAGGGCGGATTGCGCCCCGGACGTCGCCCTCGAGAACATCATGGACCAGGGACGCGTGGAGATTGAAAAGAAACTCCGAGAGGGTGGTGGACCCCTACCTCACGTGGCGGACCAGCTGCTAGTGTCCGCTTATTCCAGTGCGGTGTCCGGGGATCTGAAATTTAACTTTGGCCGCAGCGGTTTTTTCGGTGATGCACGCGACAAAGATTTTGCCGTGCCCACCGCCACCGCCGACACCGCCCACGACGCCGCGTCGGATGACTTGGTTGGGAACCACGACCATGACGTCGGCGGTGCCCCCAAAACCGCCACATCCTTCACAGTGGCTTCCGGTACCACTTTTTCCAGTGCCTTGCACACCGCAGTCGCTGCCGATGCGCAAGATGCATCAGCGGCTTGTGACGGCACACCCAGCGTCGGTGCCCAATCACTCATGTCCAGCGTAATTGGCGCCATGAGAAGTGAGGCCGACTGCAAGGTCTGCTATGCCATCTTCGACGATCCCGTGACCACCGCTTGCGGCCACACGTACTGCCGCCTCTGCCTACAGCGGTCCCTCGACATCCACCCCTCCTGTCCTCTATGCCGCCGAAACTTGTCCGCCAACACCTACTTTCGCACCGAGTCATCTCCGACCAATGAAAGGCTAGGCCTCATCCTAGAGACTCTCTGGCCCGAACAGGTGCAATCCCGTCGCGATGTAGCAAAGGAGGAGGCAGTCGCGCGCGAGGCGGAAGCCCAGCACGACGTGCCCATCTTTGTCTGCACGGTATCCTTGCCCACCATGCCTACGGTTCTACACATCTTTGAGCCAAGGTACCGTCTCATGATTCAGCGCGCCATGCAGGGCAACCGGATTTTTGGTATGGTGCTGCCACGAGAGACCATCCGGAGCGTCGAGCCTAACGGCAACGAGAGCCTCCCTTTTGCCGAACTCGGCACCCTCCTGCGGATTAAGAATGTTAGGGTGTTCCCCGACGGTAGGAGCCTCGTGGAGGCCACCGGCATGTCGCGATTTCGCATCGTGGAGCACTCCTTGCTAGATGACTACATTGTCGCCCGCGTCGAACGGTACGACGATGTCAGCGTAGCCGACGAGGAGGCCCTTGAGGCGTCCCAAACGGTTGACTGGAATTTTAACCGATCACCGAGCCCGGCCTCCATCGCCTCCACCACCTCTCGCTCTTCTTCCACCTCGTCCGGATCTCTCCGCTCTTTCATGTCAACCCGCTCGAGACTATCTAGCTCCGCATCCTCTTCCTCTTCCTCGTCCTCGTCGTCCTCACGCTTCTTCTCCGCCTCCTCCTCCTCCTCCTCAAGGGTGCCTCAGACTCCCACGCTCCAGGATATCGATATCATGCCGACGGCTTCGCTCATTGCCTACGCCAGCTCGACTATGGAGCGTAAGTGGCGGCGGTTTAGCGTGGCGAACAGGGGACCTCAGCCCACGGATCCCTTGCTGCTGCCCTGGTGGCTCGCGACCGTGCTGCCGACACAGGATGTGGCCAAGTATCGCGTGCTGAGGGCGGTGAGCTACAGGGAGCGCTTCCAAATTTGTTGCCGGTGGTTGGTAGAGTTAGAGGAGGGTAGCGCTGTGTAAGTTCCCATATCCCACCCACGATGTCGATTCTTTCTTCACCTCCCCCTTCCCTCCTTGTACCCACAACACTACATCTAGTGCAAAGTAACCTAGAGGCTAACGGCTTGCAGGAGCGGTGGGTGCGTTGTTCTCTGAGTGCGTCGCCGCCAAAGTTGCTCGCATCGTGCATGCACGAATAATCCGTCCGGGCGGAGCTGAAACTGGGGAACTTGCAGAAGCCGGTGGCGTCGGCGTGCCGCTTTTTTATTCTATTTTTTTCCCTCTCCTCCTCCCTCTTGCCCTGCTCTCTCACTCCTGATTTTACCTGGTTCAATTATTTCTTTGCTCCTCCTCGCGATGGAATCTAGAGTCCTAGATTCTTCAGGATGATGCGAAATTGGAAGAGAGGAGAGGCACTTCTCCCCCATCCTCAAAGCTACAGCCCCTTGTAAATTTGGCAGGCTTGGCTGTATTTCATTTTCTTTTCTTTTCTTTTCTTTTTACGATGATGATGGGGGCTTTTTTCTCTGCATTCGCATACATGATGATACCATTGGTTTTTTGAAGTCCCTACATGGCTCCGGTGTTTGGTGGCTGGGCGGTTCGTCCTCATTTCGCATACGCACCTACATTCTACATGATTACACAACGTACCTAGAATATCTAGCATCAATAATACTGTACATGCACGATAGTTTGCCTGTCTTGGACTTTGCGTTGAGATTTGGTTTGCTGCTCCAACAGTTCTAGGTTAAACTGTTGGTCAGAAAATTTCAGTGCCTGTCTCTGGAGAGTGAGAGGGGAAGCAGTTCCTCCTAATATCTACATGTACAGCTAAACACACATTACATACACAGCTCCGGATCCCTTCCCTTGCCCGAAACCGAGTTCAGAGTCTACATCAGGGTAGATGATTGATCTCCCTGAAGCGACATAAAAGGGGAGAAAAACAGATGCGTGATGGCCACTAATGTGTCTCCACATCACGATTGCACTTTGAGCTTGTAGTTTTCTTTTCTACTACTTCATATCATACATTAGAAGGGTATTCATCCTAAAGATTTCTATATATATACAAGAGGGCGAACGTGCTCTTTACGTTTGTTGGTGTTGTACAGGGTAGAGGTGTGTGAGGGGCTCCCCGAGGGAAAGAGGGGAAAAGGGAAACGCTTGGGTAAAGTATAATGAGGCCCTTTTCCTCTATTTTCTTCCGATGGTTACCCTTTCTTTTTGTTCTTATCCCGATACGCATATTCCCCTATCGCGCACAGCTTAGCTTACCCGCCTGGTAGTTGTTATGTAGGCTGAGGGGCCAGGAGTGAGAGGGAGGACCAAAAAGAGAATGAGGGGGCGAAGGCGTTAGAGGAGATGGTGGGAATCACGGGCTATGGGGGTTGAAGAAGCGTCGGGCAATATCTAGCTTCTCGGCAAGGGAGCGCCGGTCGCTATCTTCGGGTCGATTCTTGCGAGTATGGTCTCTGCTGCCCTGGGGAGGACCCCTGGAACCACCTCCACGGCTCGGGCTAGGACGGCGGCGGCTCCCGAACGGTCTTGGTAGCCCTGCGCATGGCCATCTGTCCGAGCATCAGCACCAGGCTGCCCGTCACCGCTGCCCTGGTGGCCGGGTTCGTAAAAGTTGGCGACGAAGCGGTTGAGGAGGTCGCGCCTCCGACGGGGCCCGTCGAGCTGGTCCTCGTCGAGCATGGCTTCGGTGATGACGCGGTCCCAGGCGCTGACGATTTTGCGGCAGGTGGCGACGACCTCCATGCAGTAGTTGGCGGCGTGGGCGCGCTGCGCGGAGGTGCTGGCGTCGGGGCCGGGACGGGAGGCGGCCTCGAGGAGGGTCATCATCTCGTTGCGGCAGGTGGCGAAGCCGCCGGGCATCCAGATGTGGTCGATGGCGCCGAGGACTTGGAGGGCGTAGGCGCGGTCGATGGCGGCGCGGGCGGCGGGGTCGGCGCCCGCCTTGCGGCGCATGAGGCGGAACTGGTGGCTGCTCTTGGCGGCGACGTCGACGTAGAGGCGGATGCTCTCGAGGTCGGGCTCGGGCAGGGCGGTGACCATGATGTCGTAGATGGCGGCGGCGTTCTTGGTGGCGTTGGGGTTCACGTTGTCGTGCACGCAGGTTTCTAGGGCGACACGGAAGGTCTTGGGCGTCATGAACTCGGTGGGCATGGCCTTGAGCGCGGCGACGGTCTGCGCGCTGGAGTGGGTTCGGCGGAGGATGCGGAGAAGGGCGTGCCAGTTGTTCTGGTCCGGGGTGATGCCGTAGTCCTCGACGAGGCAGGTCCAGTAGTGGAGGGCGAGGCGGGCGCGCCGGGTGCGGTCGAGGGCGTAGAGGATGAGGGAGAGGGTTCTCGTTGTGGGGGTGGGGAGGGGGAGGAACGGGCCGCGGGTTTGGTTGTCTTGCGAGAGGCGCGTAGGTCGACTACTTGGTCGTCTTGGCTCTCTGCGCTTTCGCGGCTCTCGGCGTCTTCTCGAGGCGTCTGGGGTTCGGCCAGCATCGGAATGCCCATCGATTCCTTGAGGAGGGGAACACTTCCATCTTGACATCCTGAGAGCCGAGCGTCAGGATCCGACCCATCGAAAAGACGAGGCCCTCGTCGAGTACAATCTGCGCCGAGTTGCTCTTCCGGATAACCTCCTGCCAAATGCGTCGGGCCTGCTCCAAGGTTTTGGCAATGGTGTTCTTGTGGTCTTCTTCCGTATAACCCGTCTTTTCGGCATGCTTCAGATTCTCGCCTTGATGCTCCACCCAGGCACGCAGCCCGTTGAGGATGGTCGAGTACGTCAGGGCATCGGGCTTGCGGGTCTTGTTGTCGATAGTGGCGGCGACGGACATCATGGCATCGACGTCCAGCGCGCGGGCGCAGACCTCGAGCGCTGCATTGAGGTGGATGACATTTGGCGGGATTCGAGAGCTGTTGAGCATGGTCATGTAGAGCTTAACCGCCTCGGCCACGGCGAGCTTTGCATGTTCGGATCGCGCACACCCTTTGAAGAGTGTCGTGTAGGTATGGGCGTTGGGGAGCTGGCCTCTCTTCTTCATCTAGATTGAGGCCTCCTTTGTTAGCAAACGTTATCTGTGGGGCACGGTAAGACGTGGGGTAGAAACAGAAGGAAGGGGGAAGCGCACCTCATTGAAAAGCTTCAGAGCAGCGTGTAGCCTCTGATGCTTGAGCTGGTAGTCGATCAACTGGTTCCAGCTCGCCGGCACTTGCATGTCCTTGCTAGCTATCCGAACAAGACCTTGCGCCTCCGCAAGACGATCCCTGCGCAACCGGCTAATGACAGCGTTGGAGAGCTTCCACGGGTCCTGCAGGCCATAGTTGTATTCGACGGTCAGGTTCTTAAGCTGAGCCTTGTCTAGTTGCGTCGAGTCCTTAATAGGGACTATGGTCGGGGTGTTGTTGACATCGAGGATACCTGCGACGCCCACTTGCTTCCTCGTTTTGGCTGCTGTGACGATACCACGACCCGGTGCGATGGCTGCTAATCGGAGAGGGCGATGGGCAATGGCACTGGCGAAGCCGCTTCGACAAGCTTGCCGGACACAATGCTGGCGGGCTAACATAACAACTAAATGGTCATATCCAGAAAACAAAAGGGGAAAAAAAAGAAAGCGGCGGATGCGAAATCGGAAAACGCCGTCTAGCAATGGTCGCCTCAGACTCGCGACTTTCTCTTGATGCTGGTGGCTTTGGAGGGTGAGAAAAAAATTAGTTGAGCCACAGCGTCTCTTATCTTATCGGCGCCACACCTACATACTTGCAGGTGTGGGGCTGCGATTTGCCTCTCTGACTGAGCAGTGGACACAATTATGCTCGCTGCAGCGGTTGCATTATGTAATCTACAGCCCCATTGAGCCCCTGAGAGAGAAAACGCGACTGTGGTACGTGCACCACGCGTCGCTCGCGATATTATTTTACCCCAGCATCCATTGAACAGATTCTGGCGTCAGTGGGTCCGCCACTAGGACGCGACGCGCGCCGACTTTAATGACTTTCCCAAGTCGAGATAAAGTACCAAAATCCATCATGTTCCACTTTAACCCTCGACCTCCATGAACAACACACCCACCTTGGTGCAGCAGGACAGCAACGAAACCGCATCACGCTCCCTCTCCTTTTAGAGAATCGTGATAAGCACACATATTCGAGTTCGTTGCTCACTGTCATGATCATCTAGCCCTGAACTGCCGGTTTTTCTCCCCTTGTCCAGAAGCAATGCCGAAGGTCAACAGGCGCTCAAGCTCGCTGAGCTCAAGGCGCTCAGGGAGTCGGGCAAGAAGGTCTTCGACACCTACCAGGTCGAGGATGCTCCCTCGTTGTATGAAGAGGTTGACGAGGATGGATATAAGAAGATTGTCCGCGAGCGTCTCGACCAAGACGACTTCGTCGTTGACGACAATGGCGAAGGCTACGCTGACGACGGGCGTGAGGAGTGGGATCGAGCTCCTCAGTATGGCTCGGAAAGCGAGGACGATATGACGCCTCGTGGAAGACCCAGCAAAGCAGGTGTGTTGCCTGTCCCCTCGCCTCCCCTAGCAACGCAAACTCGTCAAAATGACCAATCGCTAATCGATCTACCCCCTTATCGCAGCCAAGAAACAAAAGGAAGACGAGAAGGCGAAACGCGATGCTAATGACCGTGATATCACTCAATTCTTCACAAAGGGTGCTACCAAGGCGCAACCTAAAGTCAAGGTAAGCCCTGACAAACCTCAACTGAGTGTACAGCACTCCGCCAGACATGGGGATGCTAATTGAAGTCTACTCAAAAGGTTGCGAAGACGAAAGAGGATGACGATTTCCTTGCCGGTCTCCTTGGCGAGGTTGACACCAACATTCCCGCGCCAGCCCCCGCTCTGGAAAGCGGAACAGATCGCCCGCTCCTCGGAGGGTGCGCGTGGTGTCTCCTCAGCCCGCTGCGAAGAAGAAGAAGGTTGTTGATAACAGGCTTCCCTCCCCGACATTGAGGACGACTTTCTCCCCTCGATCAGCGACCCGATTCCCTCCGACATCCCTATGAGCGATCCTGCACCCTCCTCACCCACCGTCAAGGTTGCCGAGCGAAAGGCCCACATTAAGGAAGAGCCCCAGAGCGATGAAGACGACGAGGAGATGATGGAAGTTGCCCATGTGGGCAGCGTAGCTGCAACCAGCGTCAACATTGCTGGTTCCAAGCCGGTCAAGAAGATTATCAAGCGCGAAGATTACCCCACTCCCGCGAGTTCGTCTCCGCCGGTAGCCGCACAAGTCGAAGCTGCCGTTGACTCGTCCTCTTGGAATGAGCTGAATGACAGGCTGAACGTCGTCACCTCTACCCCCACAGCCCGCGTCGTGGGCAAGATGGAGCCCAGCGATGCCACGGCTGAGGACGGCAGCGTCAACATGTTTTGGACTGACTATACCGAGATCAACGGAAGCCTCTGTCTCTTCGGAAAGGTCTTTAACAAGAAGACGAAGACCTACGTCAGCTGCTTCGTCAAGGTGGACAATATCCTCCGCAAGCTTTATTTCCTGCCCCGCAAGCACCGCCTGGAGCATGGTGTTGAGACGGATGAAGAGGTCACCATGGGCGACGTCTTTAGTGAGGTTGATGAGATGATGACCAACATGAAGGTCGGTTTCCACAAGATCAAGCCTTGCACGAGGAAATACGCCTTTGAGCTACGAGATATTCCCAAAGAGGCACAGTATCTCAAGGTCCTCTATCCCTATACGAGTAAGTTGTGCAATTCTTCCCATCATCTCATCCATCGCTTCCTCGCTACAACCTCGATTGATCTCTAACACACATTATAGAATTCCAGGTTGATCCCACAAGAGTCGGCAAGACGTACTCGCATGTTTTTGAACGGGCACTTCCCTCTTTGAGCAGTTTGTGCTCTGGAAGAACATTATGGGCCCCTGCTGGCTCAAGATTGATGATCCCGACTTCTCAGCTCTCAAGAACGCCTCTCACTGCAAGCTAGAGATTCAGGTCGACCACCCCAACGCGATCGCGCCCGTCAGCGAGACCCTCAACTTGGAACCCCCGTTCACGATGATGAGCATTGCTATGCGCACCACGTTCAATGCCCAGGACAACAAGCAGGAGATTCTTGCTCTCAGTGCCCGGATCTACGAAGACATCAGCTTGACGGAAACTGTACCCGCAGAGCGACTCCTTGCAGAACCTTTACCCTCATTCGGCCCAACGGTCCCGCCTTCCCCATGGGATTCGAAGGCGCAACAAAGAAGAGGAACAAGGGCCTCATCAAGACCATGAAACAAGAGAGCGAAATGCTATCCTTCTTTTTGGCCCAGGTCGACGTTGTCGATCCCGATATCATCTTGGGCCACCAGCTGGAGGGTGTCGACTACAGCATTCTGCTAAATCGCCTCCACGAAAAGAAGACACACCAATGGTCTCGGCTCGGCCGCTTGCGACGAAGTCAATGGCCGTCTCAAATCGGCAAGGTAGGCGGAAACGTGTTTGCCGAGCGCCAAGTCATCGCCGGTCGTCTGCTCTGCGACCTCGGCAACGATGCGGGCAAATCAATCATGTTCAAGTGTCAGTCTTGGAGCCTAACAGAGATGTGCAACCTGTATCTTCCCGGCGACAACCGCCGAAGGGACGTCGACAACGAGGTTGCCCTCAAGACCTGGGCTACAACCAAGGACGGCCTCATGGACTACGTCACCCACATGGAAACGGATACGTACTTCATCGCCGCCCTCGCCTTGCAGATCCAGATGCTGCCGTTGACGCAGGTCCTGACCAACCTTGCCGGTAACTCGTGGGCGAGGACCCTCACCGGTACCCGTGCCGAGCGAAACGAGTACATTTTGCTCCACGAGTTTCACCGCAACAAGTACATCTGCCCTGACAAGCAGACCTTCCGTGGGCGCCGAATGGAAGATGAAAATCAAGAAGATGGTGACAACAAGAAGAAGGACAAGTACCAGGGTGGTTTGGTCTTCGAGCCTGAAAAGGGCCTCTACGACAAGTTTGTGCTCGTCATGGATTTCAACTCTTTGTACCCTCCATCATCCAAGAGTTCAACATCTGCTTCACCACGGTGGACCGCAACGAATTGGTAAGAGAACAGAAACCCCCATTGAACGGTACCCAGATTTTGGTGGGCCCGTTCCAATATAGAACGTAAAACTAACGGAACTCGTAGCCTGAGGGTGATAGCGATGCTGTGCCCGCCGTACCGCAAGAACAGGATCTCGGTATCTTACCAAAGCTCATTTCCACGCTCGTCAACCGTCGTCGCCAAGTCAAGTCCTTGATGAAGGACAAGACGGCGACTCCCGAGCAGCTAGCGACTTGGGAAATCAAGCAGCTCGCGCTGAAGCTCACCGCCAACTCCATGTACGGTTGTTTGGGTTACTCCAAGTCGCGGTTCTACGCCCGACCCCTGGCCATCCTCACGACCTACAAGGGTCGTGAGATTCTCCGTAGCACCAAAGAACTTGCTGAGAGCCAGTCGCTCCAAGTCATCTACGGTGATACTGATTCCGTCATGATCAATGCCAACGTAGACAACGTTACGGACGCGCTCAAGGTTGGTCGGGAGTTCAAGAAGTTGGTCAATAATCAATACAAACTTCTCGAAATCGACATTGACAACATTTTCCGGCGCATCCTTCTCCAGGCCAAGAAGAAGTATGCAGCCATCAACCTCGTGGAGAAGGACGGCAAGTGGGTGGAGAAGATGGAAGTCAAGGGTCTCGATATGAAGCGCCGAGAATACTGCGCGTTGTCCAAGGACATCTCGAGCCGCGTGCTCAACGAGATTCTCTCCGGCGATGAGACCGAGGTTGCCATTGGCCGCATTCACGAGTACCTCCGGGAGATCACGGGCAAGATGCGAGAGAAGGCCGTCCCTAACGGCAAGTACATCATCTTCACACAGCTCGGAAAGGCGCCGGCCGATTATCCCAATGGCGATTCGATGCCCCAAGTACAAGTCGCTTTGCGCGACATTGCTCGAGGCAAGACCGTGCGCAAGGGCGACGTCATGTCGTACATCATCACGGGCGACTCGAGTTCGTCAGAGCCTGCTCCCAAGCGCGCTTACGCGCCGCCCGACGTCATGAAGGCGGACTCGGGCCTCTCGCCCGACGTTGAGTGGTATATCGGCAAGCAAATCTTCCCTCCAGTGGAGCGTCTTTGCGCCAACATTACCGGTACTTCCACCGCCCAGCTCGCGGAGAACCTCGGCCTAGACATTAAGCGCTACGCGACCAACACGTCGGCGCAGTCCTCGTACAACGACACCGAGATCCACCCTCTCGAGTCCCAGATCCCCGATCGCGTGCGGTTCGTCGACTGCGAGCAGCTCTTGATCCGCTGCCGCGCCTGCAAGAAATCCTCCGTCTTCGAGGGCCTCGTCAACAGCCCCAACCTTGTCACGCCCAAGGGCATAATCTGCGGCGATTGCAAAGCCGCCACCCCCTCCTCTCCATCATCGCGCAGGTGGAGCACGCGATCCGTCAGCACACCTCGCGGTACTACGAGGGCTGGCTTGTGTGCGAGGACATATCGTGCCCCTCGCGCACCCGCCAAGTCAGCGTTGCCGGGTCTCGCTGCCTCGTCCGATCGTGCGACGGCAAGATGCGCTACGAGTACGGCGAGAAGGCCATCTACAACCAGCTCCTGTACATGGCCTCTCTCTGGGACGTTGACAAGGCCCGCTCCATCGTCGAGGACACCTCGTCCGACCTCCCTCCAGCCTGCGCGACGAGGTCCTCGTCCGCGCGGAGCAGAACCGCAAGAGGTTCGCTACCGTCAAAGGCGTCGTCGACCGGTACTTGGAGAAGTGTGGTAGGCAGTGGGTCGCCATGGATCGCCTGTTTGCCAAGCTTGGCCCCATCACGGTTGCCGTCCCCGTCAAGGTGGAGGTTGCCGTGTAAGGGATCGTTGGGAATTACATGGATGTAGAGAGACGCAAGGTCTTTTTCCCTGCTTCGCTTCCCGGGGAAAGAAGCGATACCGCTGGGAGGCTGTTTTTATCCTTTTGTTTTTGGTTTATTCCTTGTTCACGAAGGATGTTTTGGGAGGCACGCACTGACTGGACTGGCACATGACTTTTGTTTATCATCATTATCATCATCTATGAAGGCGTTTAAGGGAAGTGGGTTAGGACGGAAAGTAAGGGAAGCGGCGCGCATCAGGGACTTGGATGCAATGTTTAATTGCTCAACTACTGCCTTCAAGCTCTCGAGCTGTCTTTTAATGAAACAAAACTTGACTAGAAAAAGAAGTTGCCAATCCAGTGAAACGGGCGAGCAAGGGGAGACATGGGCAAGATTAGATACTATTATCTATATGTAAAAGGGGAGCCAAGCGCGATGTACGGCAAAGCACCACTAGTAGGTACGATGGGAAATGGCGAAGAGAACACTACGATGTAGCGGGAAAGCTATAGCAGGTGAATGCTCGGAGTGTTTTGTTGCCGGAGCACTTGATGCCCTCCTCGACCAGCCTAATCTCTCAGCTTCCTAGGACGCACCCGAAAGGACGCACCCGAGAGGATGATTCTCGAAGAAGGCCTCGTCCTTGGCCCACGCCGCGGTCAAGATATCCCTTCCTTCGCGCGCAACCTGCTCGACCATGTCCGGGGTCCCCCAACCGGCGACGGTGGTGCCGAAGCAGAGGAGGTGGGCGCCGACGGTGACGAGTGCGCGGAACGCGACGTCCTTGTCGAGGACTCCGTAGCCGGCGCAGAGGCCCTGGATGATCCATAGCCCGGCGTCGATGTCCTTGTAGAGCTTGAGCTCGTAGAGTTCGGTGATCATCTGGCCAATGTCGGCGGCGAAGACGCCGAGCTGGAACATTTCCCAGTCGACGACGAAGACTTCTTTTGGGAGACTTGGTCGGCGGAGTCTTCGGAAAGTAGGACGCTGGAAGATGGCAGGTTTTAGTAAGATAGAAAAAATGGCACCGGGGTACTACCGGCCAATCTCTACGAAAACAAGCAGACTTACTTTCCGGTCCAGAAGTCGCCGTGGATCACGCTCAGCCGGTCCGGATCCACGATCTCGTCGGCCGTGGCCTGGGCTACTTGCTCGAATAGAGCCCTGCTGTCAGACAGGATGGCGGGGAAGCTATCTATCCTCGAGACGAGGCTGCCGTAGTTGATGTACTGCTTGATACCCTGGAGCTGCTGGTTCCGAGCGGCGAGTTGCCGGAGGTCGGCCCGGGTCGGGTCGTTGGCCCAGGCGTGGAAGGCTCGGAGCCACGTTCCGAGGGAGGTGCCTAGGGACACGGAAGAGACTTCCAAGGCGGGCGAGGAGGTGGCGAAGTGGCGGAGGGCGTACTCTTTGAGGCTCTTGGCCGCGGGTTTGCACTCTTGGACGTGGTTGTTGAGCGCTGGGTCGAAGAAGATGGTCTTGGGCGCCCTGACGGTCCAGCTACCGGCCTGGACCGGCGCAAACGCATTGACGGCCTGGAGCGCGCCTACTTCGATTTCCTACATTTTTAAAAATCGAAAAGACATTGATATTTTCTTAGCTCTCGTTCTCACATCGGGATATACGGAAGCCAACACAGGCGAGAGGATGAAACGAAAAAAAAGGGGGGAGGAAGCATTGTCTCCTTACACATCGGTCTATAGAGATCTTAAAGTTTGGGTTGGCGGCCACGAAGCCCTCGCCGTGCTTGACCACCACCTCGCGGGTGCCGTCCGGCAGCGGGTTCTTGAGGACGGCGTGGAAGATGAAGTTGGCGTTGCCACCGCTCAGAGCCGTCAGGGCTAGCGCTTCGTACGGCGTCCCCGTAAGCTGGGCCGTCAACTCCACGAGGGCTTTTTCGGCGCCGGAAAAGTCACCGCCGGTGCCCGTGACGTCGGGGGCGCCATGGAGGTAAAAGTTCGGCGGGAGGGGAGCTGGAGGGAGAGTAAGGAGCCGCGCAGGGACACAGCACGGATTCGCACTTATTCCTCTTGGGGGTCCGGAGGGAGTTCTTGCTTTCGATGACAACTTAGATATAACGCTTTGCCTCCGGGGCACTTCTATTAATTAAGATACTGGATGATGGGGATATATAGACCGCTCTTGTTTCGTCGTCGTTGTTTCGGTCTTGACAAAACGTAGACTCGAGCTTGCCCGGGGCCTATTAGTCTCGAAAGCTGGACCCCTCAATTCGCGACCCCGCCTACACCTACACCTGCACCTACACCCGCATCGACTGGTGACGTTGTTTACGTTAACCAGCGCAATGGGTTAGATGCACCTCGAGCACAACCGCGGGGATGTTCGCACCCAATGCCGCCCTAGCTGCAGTGACACGGAATACGAGCGTTGACACATTCGCCGATTGACTCATTGCATTCACCATGCCTCCATGCGGGTTTACGTTCCACTGGCTACCTCGGGCCAGAACACCAGACGTCTCTAGTGTGCGAGGAAGCTCTAATCCCAACATTAGAGCTGGGAAAAATATCGAACTACCCGCCCATTAAGAGATGGGTAAGAATAAGAGGGGGACAAAATCACCCCTGCGCCCCTCCATCGCTACAGGCAGGCCACGCAAAGACTGTTCGAGTATTAGATGGAGCTTGCACTAGAATAGAATCCAGAAGACCGGCAACGCCCCACGATCAAAAGAAAAAAACAACTTGATGCCTTTCTGGTTGCCTGGCTTTGCTGCCTTGGATCTTGGATGGTGCGGAGAAATTTGTTGCCGAACATGGTGAAAGGCAGCAATTTCTTATTTTTATTTTTAATCGAGAGGATGGCCATCGTGACGCTGCGACGATGACGTCAATGGTCAGCCCCCTTTCGCTGGGTGTTGTAGATCCTCTTGACGGATGACTGCCGCCACTCACGCGTCTCTCAAAAACCGTGTTTTTATTCTATTATTTTCCTTCCTCTTCCCCTTCTTCTTCTTGGGTAATAGATAGCCGTCCAAGTTCGAATTTGATCTCCCAGCAACGTGGCTCCCTCAAAAGAAGGCGAGAAGAGTCTAACGCTGCCTAGGGGCTCAGCCCCCTTGTGGAACACCCTTCAAGTTGGGGCGATCGAATGGGCCTGCCTCGTGTGATTTCCGAGGTTTTTTAGACTTCAACCATCGCGACTTCGCCAGGGTATATTTGCTTGCTGATGTAGTGTTGGTGCTGCGTGGCTTTTACCATTGGACCTCGTGGCCTTATTTCTTGGAGGGGGCCTAGGAGGGTGGCTGTACGGTTGGGGGAAAGAAAGCTGAGGCAATGTTGTGTAATGCACTGAATAATGTTCATGGATCAGTCAATGGATTGGAATCATATGGATCCAATCCATTTGAATGGTTGGCTTTGGGCTGGCTTCTCTCATAACACCACGTTCCCACGAACGGGTCAGCGCTCAGTGGTTGACGGCTTGGTTGGGCGCTCCCTGCATGAGGGCGGTAATCTACTGAAGAAATTGAATGTTTCGGGCGTGACGCTGGCCAAACCTGATACACGACACGATCGAATCTTGATTGGAACTCCCCAATTCGACACGCGGGTCTGAAGGGCGTGGCGGGTGGCCCTCCCCTCCAGGCCCCCTTCGCCCTCAGTCAGCGCCAACTAAACCAGGACGGGAACCTGGCAATGTTAAGCCTACACTTGAACAAAAACAGAGAGCCAAAACAGCAAGAGCCTGCAGTCCGGGCGGTCTCAACTGTTAGGTGAAACATGGCTGGAGACTGTCTCTTTGTACCCCACCCGCTAATTCCCCTTTGCTCGCCGTGGAGCCTGGTGAAACGGTACCTCTGCTGTCGGCCCGCATCGTACCCGCCATCAATTGATGGCACGACAAGTCAACCACCCTTCCTCTCTGTTCTTGCAGGCTCGGAAGCTCCTCCCTTTGGTTCCAACATCTTTGAGCTCATTCCCAGTCATCGTCCAATGGCGCCCCGTTGGCCTGACGCGGGGCCGCATGAGGGTGGAGCGGCATTTCGCTGACCTTTCAATTTCGATCTCGTCTCCCAGTTTTGATGACAGACCTTAAATCGTGAGAGCCCTCTCTGTCCTTCCCCCTGCCAGACTGCCCTGCAACAATCCTTGCATTCACTCTTGGCTTTTTTTGGGGTGGGACCCATCCGTTCTTCCCAAAAAGATCTCCACTTGCCGGGGCTGGCTGGCTCCTCGTTTTCTTTTTTACATTCATCCCTTCAATTGAATGCACGCCTTCACTCGCCAAACCAAGGCAAGCGATCTTCACACCCTTCTGCCGCCCATTGGGAGCAAGGCAAGCTCGAGAGAACGCCCGAAAGATTATTTGACTTTCTCTCCCTCCCCGAAGCTGCCGGGGTTGACTAGCACCAGAAGAATACACCGCGTGGAATCCGATGTACTGTGCTGCAAGAATTAGATGCAAAATTGTGAGCTAGCACTAGCACAATTCGAATCAGACCCATACGCTTCAAGTCCCGACCTCTCCCTTCTCCCCTTGCATTCTCCGCCATCGATGTACCAGGCGAGTGGGACCTTGATCTAGCGAGAGCACGTTGGAACTGGCAATTGACACTTGGGCGCCAACCAACCTCCTGTATCGAAACACACCCACCACCGAATACTGAAATCGGAGAGCCACTGACCTCCCACTTCGCTACATGTACTTGGAGACAACCTCTTTCCTATTTCTCACCCCCTCCACCCACTTCGTTCTTCTTCATCATTCTTCCTCTCCGCCCCCTCCCAACAAAACTTCTTTAAAATCATCGGGACTCTCCACCTTGCTTTCTCCATCCTTGCTAGCCTTGACCAAGCCAACCTCCCTCCATACCCCGACTTCGCTCCCCACTCTTTAGATAGGCAGCGCTTTACCAATCCATCGTGCTCTAATAATACCGTGTGCGCATCGACGCATCGACGAGAACCGTCGCCTTTTTCGACTTACCTGCCGCCCCTAGCCTCCCAAACGGACATCCCGGTCCCGCACTTGAAGAGGCATCTCGACTGCCTACCGCGCTCGCCTCCGACCAATTCCGTCGATCACTGAACAAATATCAGGGACTCAGCCGTGTCTAGTGGCCGCTTCCGTTTGATTTCCCTTTAGTACAGCGACGATAACGCCAATAACAACCTATACCTCACACAACCCAATCGTGACCTAGCACCGTTCGCATTGATTAGCGCGCCACATTTCATCTCTTGAACCAACGACTCCCTTTTTTCTTCTTTCCTCTCCCCTACTCTCAGCTCAACAACCCCCTTTTAATTCTCTTGCTTCGTCAAGCACTCCAACGTGTACGACCTAGCGCTCGCACGACTCTGTGGATTCTGGCCACCCCCTTTCACTTGTAATACAGCCAGACACCGTAGCAATACTCACCTAAACGCCCTGAATGTTCGACTCTGCGCCCGCCGAGCCTCGAACCACCTCGCTGCATAATCATAATCTAAGAAACTACTTCACACGACGAAATCAGCTGCCCCAATGGCGACTGTGACCACCTCGACGAGCGCGCAGCCGACCGACGGCGTCCAAGGGCGGAATCTCATACTCAACCCCTACGATGCTGCTGTAAATCAGAATGGGAGCTTCGAATCCGATCGCGTCATCAAGGCGGGCAAGGTTCAGAAGCGCACACAAAAGACGAGGAGCTGGAAGACGGTCTACCTCGTACTGCGGCCCAACACTCTGTCCATCTACAAGAACGCCAACGAAGAGAAGCTGAGGCACAAGATCTACCTCGCCGACCTGTCCACCGTGGCCCCGCTCAAAGACCCCAAGAACAAGAGAAACCACGTCTTTGGCCTCTTCTCCCCTTCCAAGAACTTCCACTTCGAAGCTGCCTCCGCCGAGGATGCGCAGGAGTGGCTCGACTTGATCCGCAAGGAGGCTAGGATAGACGAGGCCGACGAGGAGTTTTACCTCGCCAGCCCTTTTGGAAGCCGACAGTCTTCCACCAGCGCTGCCATACCTCAAGCCATCAAGGGCGCCGCCGCGCAACCCCAGCTTGGAGGCGAATGGCTGCTCTCCACCTCTCCCGAGTACCTTGCCAGTCCTGGCTCGCTCTCCGTCCCGCAAGATCCCCGCCATATATCGCATATGCTAGACTCGTCGGGGCTGTCAGGCAACGAACTTGCCTCGCATTCTGACTTTTCCGACACCGAGACGAGGCACGTTCACGGCGTCTCGATCGAAAGCTTGGCCCTCCGCCCTCCCCAACCTCTCGCCGAGGGCGACTCTACGACGCGGCCGGAGCTAGGCCAGAGGAATAGCAGCCAGGCGAGCGGCCTGAACCTCGACCAGGACCTCGACCGCGTCGTGTGGCAGGGCAAGCTTCAGTTCCTCCGGAGCAAGGGTGGGGTGAGGCAGTGGAAGAAGACGTGGGCCGTGGTCCGCCCCAGGAACATGATTCTCTACCGCGACGAATCCGAATATTCGGCCAAATTCATCCTCCCCATAGCGTCCATCCTCAACGTCGTCGAGATTGATCCTATCAGCAAGACCAAATCCCACTGCTTGCAAATCATCACCGAGGAGAAGAGCTACCGCTTCTGCGCCACGGGCGAAGAGGAGCTTGTGCGCTGCCTCGGCGCCTTCAAAAGCCTCTTGACCAAGAGGCGAGAGCTCCAGCAACGCCTCGCCGCCGCGCAGGCTCCCTCGAGCCCCCGCCCTGGCGGCAAGACTCCGAGACGGAATCGGCCCCGTCCCCTGTGGAGCCCACCCCTCCTGCGCCGGCTGCGCCCGTGGTTCGAAGAATGAGCACGGTACAGCCTCCGCCACCCATAGGATCCCACGCTGTTTTGGCTCTGCGATGAGCAAGCGAGACTGGAGGCGGGTGGCTCTTGTTCTCTTGTTCTTCTTCTTTTTTTCCGAAGCAGCATATGACTAGCCGTGCATGATTTGGACAGTCTAGGCGTTTTCTTTTTCCTTCGCCCTGTTGCCATCTTTTCACGTCCCCGAGTTTAGGCAACTGGCGCTGTGGTACCGAAGCTTTACTTTTTTTTTCTGGGAGGCGCGGTAATGGGAGGAGCCATGGCTTCATCGGCCACAGCAGCTTCTGTCCCTACGCTTAATCACCTTCCACCTCCTTTCTCACGAGAAAACGAATCCTGATGACCTGGTCTTTCTGGGGTATGGGCTCTTTGCGTGGGGTCTTCCGCGCAAAAGGAACCTTTACGCCTCACTGTTTTTTGTTGTGTTTATAGGCAGATTGACAGAACAACATGGATAGCAAGCATTTTTTTCTCCCCGGCGCTAGGCAGCCCGCGGAGTGGGCAGCAACGGCGCTTTCGCGATGTGGAAGACTTGGAAGTTCCATATCTTTTGTTCATTATTACTATTGTTACGATACCTAGGGTTTTCTGGGCAGGGGCGTGCATTCGCCCTCTGGGAAGGCCTTTTGAGGAGGTTGGTTACCTCGCTCTACTTTCGAAACCAACCGCATTTTTACTCTCTTGCTACCTCTTTTTCGGTTATTTTTGAACTCGTATTGTATATTTGTTTGTTCAAATAATAATTCAAGAGTATTCAAGAGTTAAGGATAGTATTTAATTCCATCATGAGTAAGAACAAGAAGAAAAGTAGCCCCTTTTGGAACTACCATGTTGTCTGATATCCCTTTCAATTGGGGTACGCTGGTGATACCATGGAGTTTGCGTAGCTTGTAGCTCTGCAAGTTGAACAAGAGGCGGGCTGCATCCGTTGTGCATCAATAGATCCATGTTTCCCCATGCCCCGCCCACGTCAATGCTAATGCACCGAGGCCAAGGTGCTGCTCGATCTTGGCGGAAATGCGAGAGGGTGATTCATTCAAGTGTGAAGATATGAGTGAGGCCGACGTTTTTCCCTGGGCTCCTTCCCCCATTTTTGCACACTCTTTGCCATCGCTTGCTCTCTCCCCTGGTACCTGCCGTTCGGGAGCCGCATCCACGTAGCCAATCAGAGAGCTCAACGTCAACGTCGGCCTTGTCCTCTTTTTTTCGCGGCTGCTCACTTTTTCTGGGGGCCTTGGATTATTAGTTGCACCACGAAAAAGGCCCGTCCGCCCCAAACAACACCCGCGCAACGACATATTACGCAACACCAACGAAAGAAGAGGAAGAAGACAGTTACGCTCCGGCCATCCACGACGGAAGTGCGTTTTCTTGCGAGAGATTCGTTAAGATTCTCTTTTTTTTTTTGCTCTTCAATTTGATGGGCCAAGAGCTTCTTGTTTATCTTTAGGAGCAAGCTCGACTTTGCGATCCTCATTGGCTCCCTTTGCCTCGCGACCGACACGAAAACGTCACCACCGCAATTACAACCACGAAGAGACGAGACGTCATACGGAAGCCCTCCCCAGGAAAACGAATCCGAGTACCAAGGGGGAAGACGTATAATCGACAAGAAAGTCGAAAAGGACGGAAGGAATACCATTACCGGGGAAGAGAAGGAGAGAGAGAGAGAGAGCTAGACTTGAATAATGCCGAGACCAAAGCGCCAAAGGCCAGCGCCGCGGCGCCGTCTTCCAAGAAGAAGGAAAAGGCCGTGACGATCGAGGCGCCCGGCGATGGCGAGGCCAGTGGCGCAAGGACCAGATCGGGGGCCGCCGCTGCCGCGAAGCCCGTGACAGCGGCCGATGGCCAGCAGGATAATCCGTGGACGCCCGTGGCGCGGAAGCATTGGCTCAAGTCGAGCGGGCGGGCGACGCGGGTCAAGGTCAAGGCGGACGTGGTCAAGACGGAGTTGTACGACGTGCTCGAGGCGAGCGGGTTCCGGTACGGGTCCGTCCTGGCGCTGGAGAATGTGCAGGCGCTGGAAGGGTACCTGTGGCCTGGGTTCGGGGAGGAGTCGTCGAATTATCATGTGCTGCTCATGGTGTTGCTGATCAATGCGAAGAAGAGGGAGCAGTTGGAGACGTGGGGTAAGTTTTCTTTCTTTGGTTTTATCTTCGGGGGAGATTGAGAGAGATGGCTAACGTTTTTGGGGTGTGGTTTTTCACCCGTTTGCGATTTCTAGGCATCTTTGAAGATAGGCCCGACGACTTCTCTGCTTTTTTCCGAAGGGTGCTATCCATGCTCCTCGATCAGTCGCTCGCCCCCAACGTCCGGACGCACCTCTTGTCCTTCATGATCAACTCGTTCCAGAACCTCGACAGTATTATTGTGAGGAAGGAGTGCGTGCCCCTCGTTACCATCTCCATCTGGCACAACCTCTCCACCGAGGAGCTGCGCGACGCGAAGCTGGCCCAGTACAGCCCCCTGAAGAAGGCGTGGAGGGCTTCGCTGAAGCGGTACGATGCCGCGGACGATGCGACAAAGGCTCGTCTCCGATTCGATCGGTCGTGGCTGTTTACGCTGATTCTAGACTACCTACGTCTACTTTACTCGGAGTCCGGTTCCGAAGGTATGTGGCTGCTCCTCCTCCCCTCCTTTTTTCCCCCGCCGACCATTGACCAGTTCACTAACTCGCTTCGCTAGATGTCATCGCGTACTGTGAGCGGTTTACCGAGTTCCTTGCCGACCTTCAAAGCCAGCTCCCGACACGGCGCTACGTCAACACTCTCATCCAAGACCTTCACCTCATGTCTGCAGTGCGACTCTCTCCCGTGTACAGCGACGAGGAAAATTCTCTCCTGCGCGATCTCTTCTCCCTCCTCAGCCACTACACCTTCTTCCCCATCGACGACCACACCTTTGCCCCGTACAACCAGACCGAGGCCTACGAGAGGCACTGCGCTTCCTCCGGAACCTGCAGCGGGTCGCCTTCAAGCACTTCCAGTCGAAACTGAAGCTGGTCGCCCTGTCCAACTTTGCCGCCATCAGCCAGCGCGAAGACTTTGCCCCGCTTCTCGAGCCCCTCACCGACGACGAACTCGTCGAGTTTGTCAAGCTCCTGCAGCTCAGGGTCGAGTACCCGGGCCCCCAAATCTTCCCCGTGGATCGTGCCTTCTTGACCGAAGTTCTGCTCTACGCGTACGAGCGGCGCAAGTCGTTCCGCGAGGTAGCCAAGGACATGAGCGTCCTGCCGACGGAGCAGGCCCTCTTTGACAGCAGCCAGCTGCGGTCCGACAACTACGACGGCTCGCGGCCCCTCGCGCTTCCCAAGATGAGGTTGCAGTACCTGTCCGTGGGTGACTTTTGTGGAGATCGTTTGTGTTGTACCGCGGCGAGTCGTTCCACGGCGTTCGCGAGAGCGTCTTGGCTGCGCTGAGGCGGCTGAAGCCCGAGGTGGGCAAAACCACCGGTGGAGTGTGGTTTGGGGGTCAGTCGAGGATGGCTCTCCCTATCTCGAAACCAACGTAAGTCCCCCCCATGATGTACTTATTTTTTTCTTTCCCAAAAGGCTAATAAGGCTACATAGGATCCTCGAGGTCGCACCGCCCAAGATTGGAGAGGCCGACCCCTCTATCGTCAAGGCCGAGATCACGCTCGAGTTCCGCCGTCTTGCCGGCCACCTGAGACGAGACTGGGACGCGCTGCGCCCCGATGACGTTATCTTCCTTTTGCACGTTGCCCCGCCTAGCGACAAGGCCCTCAGCAACGGCAGTTCGGGAGAGGCTACCGAGGCTGAAAAGCACGGCATCGTGTCCATTCGAGCCGCCGAGGTGATCCACATCACCGACGACAAGGGGAAACCTATTCGAAACTCTACAGGCAACTTTGACGGGCGGCGCCGAATCCAGCTCAAGCTGGACCCGAGGACCTTTCCCGGGACGCGGCGAGGGCGGCGGCCGGCAAGCCCGACGTGTACGAGGGCATGAACATCGTTCTCCGCCGTCACAGCAGGGAGAACAACTTCAAGTCGGTGCTCGAGTCCATCCGGCAGCTGACGCTCTCCGAGGTACCCCTTCCCTCGTGGCTCCACGAGGTGTTCCTTGGCTATGGCGACCCGGCTCTTGCAACATACCGCCACTTGGCGAACCGTGCCAAGTCGGTAGACTACCGGGACACCTTCCTCGACTGGCAGCACTTGATTGAGAGTCTGCCCGGCAAGATTATCGAGCCCGGTGACGATGCGTCGGGCAGCTTTCCGCCGCCTTATGTTCTGGAGACGGTAGACCGGCCGCCGGAGCCCGTGGAGAAGCCCTCTAAGAAGCGCAGACGAGGCGCAGAGCCCGAGCTCATCTCGGATGTGGAGACGATCAAGGTGTCGACGTACAAGCCGCCCAACAACGGGCCGTACCCTACGGATGTGCCAAGGCTAAACGCGGTGCGATTCACGCCGGCGCAGACGGAGGCCATTATGTCTGGAACCCAGCCGGGGCTCACCATTATTGTGGGCCCGCCCGGGACGGGTAAGACGGATGTGGCGACGCAAATCATCAACAACATTTACCACAATTTCCCGGAGCAGAGGACGCTGCTTATCGCGCACAGCAATCAGGCGCTCAACCAGCTATTCGCCAAGATTGTGGCGCTCGACATTGACGAGCGGCACCTGCTGCGGCTGGGCCACGGTGAGGAGGAGCTACGCACCGAAGGCAGCTTCAGCAAGCTAGGCAGGGTCGAGTCCATCATGGAGAACAGGGACCGGCTCCTCGTCGAGGTCAGCAAGCTCGCGGCCTCGATGGGAGCGCCAGGCGCCCACGGCAACTCGGCGGAGACGGCGGGCTACTTCAACTCGGTCTATGTTGCCCCGGCGTGGACGCGGTTCTCCGAGGTGCTCGACAAGGAGGACGCGTCGGCGCGGGACATTGTCGAGGCGTTTCCGTTTGGCGACTTCTTCCTGGACGCGCCGCAGCCCCTGTTCCCCGAGGAGGCGGACCGCGAGACAGTGGCAGAGGTGGCGCGGGGTTGCTACAGGCACATTAGCAAGGTGTTTGAGGAGCTGGAGGACGTGCGGCCGTTCGAGGTGCTGCGGCGCGACAAGGACAAGTCCAATTACTTGCTCACGAGCAAGGCGCGGATCGTGGCGATGACGTCGACGCACGCGGCGATGCGACGGGCGGAGATTGCCAAGCTGGGATTCCACTACGACAACGTGGTGATGGAGGAGGCGGCGCAGATCACGGAGATTGAAAACTTTTTGCCACTGACGATGCAAAAGGAGGCAAGCGGTGGTGGTGGTGGTGGTGCCGGCGCCGGGGAAGACGGCGGCGATGATAAGTCGTCGACGCGGCTCCAGCGCGTGGTGCTCTGCGGCGATCACTTGCAGAACTCGCCGGTGATTCAGAACATGGCGTATCGGCAGTACGCCAACATGGAGCAGTCGCTCTTTTCGCGGCTTGTGCGGCTCGGGGCGCCGACGGTGTCGCTCGACATGCAGGGCCGCGCGCGGCCGGGCATCGCGGCGCTCTACCAGTGGCGGTACGCGAAGCTGGGCAACCTGCCGCACGTGTCGGAGGCCGAGGAGTTCCGGACGGCCAATGCGGGGTTCCGGTACGACTACCAGTTTGTGGAGGTGGGCGACTACCACGGGCGCGGGGAGGCGGAGCCGACGCCGCACTTTTTGCAGAACCTGGGCGAGGCCGAGTACGCGGTGGCCATGTACCAGTACATGCGGCTGCTGGGGTACCCGGCGCGCAAGGTGACGATCCTGGCGACGTACGCGGGCCAGAGGGCGCTCATTATGGACGTGCTGGCGCATCGGTGCGCGAAGCACCCGGCGTTTGGGATGCCGGGGGCGGTGGCGACGGTGGACAAGTATCAGGGCGAGCAAAACGACTGTAAGTTTCCCTTTCTATTCTGTCCCCCTCCTCTTCACAAAAGGCAGCGGAGACAAAGTTGCACAACGGGAGATCAAGTGCTAACGCAAGGGGAACGCCCCACAAAATAGACATTATCCTTTCCCTGACCCGAACCCGCAAGGTGGGCTACCTCCGCGACGTGCGACGCATGACCGTGGCACTCTCGCGTGCGCGGCTGGGTCTGTACGTGCTGGGGCGGCGGGAGATTTTCGAGGCGTGCCACGAACTACGGCCGGCGTTTGAGCAGCTCTTGGCGCGGCCCACGAAGCTGGCGCTCGTGACGGGGAGCTTTGGCCGTCGAAGCGGGTGCTCGCCGAGGAGGAAGCGGTGGCGCCGGGGGCGGGAGAAGGGGCCCAGACCGGAGCGGCCGCCGCGGGAGGAGAAGCCATCATGGAGGGCGTGGAGCACCTGGGCCAGTACGTGTTCGAGATGACCAAGACGAAGATGAAGGAGCTCAGCGGGGAGGGGAACGCGATGGTGGTAGAGGGTAGGGAGGAGGAGAAGGAGCAGGAGGAAGTTGTTGATAGAGTTGTGGAGGAGGATGAGGAAGAGGCTGATGGGGTGGCTGCGCCGGAGAAGGAGGATGAGGAAGAGGAAAAGGAAGAGGAAGATGGTGAGGAGGAGCAGGATGGCGCGGGGGAGAAGGAGGACGAGGACGAGGAGTAGAGGACAAAATCATGAAGCTGTAAACCCGGCCATGCTCTTTAACTACTAGGTATGGACGAGAGCCGTGTATAAAGGGAAAGGGGACAGGGGTTTTCTTTTTCTTTTTCATCGTCTTTGGCTTTTCTTCTTCTATCTATTTTTTTTTCTTCTGAATGTCTTGGTTTATGCTCTGATATAAGGCGGCTGAAAAAGGAGGTTGCCGGGATGTCCTCGAGGTAGATGGGGAGAAGCATCATGATCATTTCTATCCTCTCTCTGTCTCTCTCTGTCTCTCTGTCTCTCGTGAACAATACTATCCTCAGTTGAGTTTCTATGGATTCTTGAAATAATCTCCAGAGAGGCTGGACCAGTGAATCCTACTCCCAGAGTGCCATGGCCATGGCTACTAATCTATCTCGAAAGATGGTGTAGGCTTCTTCCAAAAAGAGAAGAAAAAAACTAAAAAGAATTGGTTCCTTAGCCACATCCTCGTTCACCCTGTACGGCTGCCCATATCCCCTTGTTACACTCCGGCATCTGCACCTACGCGTATAGGATGAAGAAATCTGTATCCCAAAACGAAGCCCTTATCAAGCTCGAGTGCAAGCGACCTACACAGCCGATAAGGGAAGACTCAACCCCACCATTCACCACATCAAGGTTTTTTTCTCTCTTCTTACAACCAAAGAGTATATGTACTTACTGCCTCGATACGTTAGATGGGGGATTTCTTTTGGGAACTCTTCAAGCGTTCCGCGCCATGTAGGGCTACGTTAGGGCTGCGGAGTGCGAGGGGGATTTACTCGAGCAGAAAACTTTTTGTTAAGAGTTCCGTTTTGGGCGTTTGCTTGTTCCTGGGGGAATTCTTGGTTGCTTTTTTGCCTCTGCGTCCTTATGCCTCTTGATAGACTGCGGTTTTACTTTTTCATTCTTCTTCCAGATTTTATGTCTATCCCTTCTTTATACCCCTGAGGATTTTTGATTTTATATCCACTGCCCGTTGGGGTAGGTGGAGTGACGTTTCTCCCCAAGTACACGTAAGGATCTAGAGGGGCAAAGAAGGAAGAAGCCTTGACTCGCGAGTAAACATGATATCACTGCACCGAGACCCAAGGTAAACATTTTGATATGAGGGCCCAAGTCGGTACATGTCGAGGGGTTGGTGACGGTTGGGCTTGGTTGGATGCGGTTCAGATTTTGCAAGAGATGTATTATTGCGTCTTGGCTCAATGGCAAGATTCCCTGCATCAGTGATACCGGGGGTCACATCAGGTCGAGATCCTGCTCAGAGAGATCTTGAACCAGTCTCAGCTCTGAACCGGTTCCTCGAAAAGAATGGAAGAGTGGAAATTTCTTTTTGTGTCTGTGGAGGGAGTGCGGTGGGACAATAATAGCAGGCATCTCTCTTGGAATGTCGCCATCTCTCGTCCTTTTTTTTCTTCTTATTCTCAATATGGAGAAACCCCACGTGGGGGAGCGAAGGATGGCATTTCCATCACCAAAGATAAACTAACATGTGGGAGTGTAAGGTTTTCTGTATTGCTATCAGGCTAACAGTGGGTGTCTATCAAAGAAAAATAAGAAAGAAAGAAGGAAAAAGGTCTAAAAAATCCATCGTCGTATTCCCTCTCCTCCTCTGAATATGCCCTCTCCGCTCAGGTGCGTGGGCTAATGGGAAAGAAGGGATGTAAGGCGTGGATATCATCACATCTTGCGATTCGCTTATACTGCGTCATGGTATCGAAACAGGGAGAACATTGAAAAGACCGAGTCTATAGGTTGTTGGGCCGGCGCCAGTTGATTGTCTAGAAAGAGAGAGAGAGAAAAAGAAAAAGAAAGAAAAAGAATGCGAGAAAGGACGAAACCGACAGAAAGGATCTGGGCAGCAAGACGACGTAGTGTTCGTCGGGTGCGCATCCGTCGGGCTCACAAGGCAAAGTCCAACAGAGGGCGTTTTATTAGTATTTCAACGCCTGCAGTATGGAGGGCCGGAGGGAGCATAGGGTCCTAAAGGCGCGGGGAGAAGAGAGCAGGAGCCGAAGCAGAAGAGGAAGCAACGAGACCGTTGCTCTCTGCGGCTCGGGGTATCCATCTGCAGGTCGGGGGTGTCTCTTTGCAGGCTAGAATGGACATTGCGTGGTGACCGATGTCGTGTCTTGACGGATGATGGAGGATGTACGGGGTGAAGTGGGTTGGCTTGTTGTTCCTATCTTGTTCGAGGGGATCTTGCGGGTGATGTTTATTCTCGAGCAACGGGTTTCCTCGAGAAACCGATGCTTTAATAGTGTACGGGGTTTGTAACTTTTGGCAAACTCGTACTCTTTTGTTCACTATATCCTTGGATTTCTAGACCGTCTATCCAAATAGAGAGGGAAGATGCGTGTGAAAGTGTTCATAGAGATAGTGGGTGCCTAAAAACTTCATTTTCATCACATCAAGTGTATCCTCCAATCTGACCGATAATTTTGATACCGAAGCGTCCATGTCATGTCTGGGGTTTCGGTAGGTTCAATGTTCAATTTTCAAGTTTAAACGTTTTTACACCTTTCATTATAAAACCGCGAACAAGTCATCTAGGTGTTCTATATTCCTTCCCCTCGGCCTGTCTGTATTACATTTGATGTAGGCCTTAAGAGCACGTTACATTGATATAAGCTTGGTCGCCCGGGAGAAGCGTGGTTCTCTCCTCTCGGGGGCGTGGAAGATATGGATGGATCTACGGGGCCAGTAATAGTCCAAGCACCTGAAACGGAGGCAGAGAAAGTGAGCGCGTGCAGCGAACTGAAGAATGCGAGGGAGAAGAAGAAGAAAACGAGAGGGGAGTAGATTGGGGATCTTCAATGCACAAACTCGTAGAAGGTGATCCTTTGAACCAGCCAACGAGAGAAAGAGAAAGAAAAAAAGCCACATCAGGGTCCCCTCCTTTGTTCTTCCCATCGTCCCATCTTGTGACTTGATCGGTGACCGGGGTCTGGCGCAGAAAAAAGGGTTGACATTTCGGACAAAGCATTTTCCCCTTTGTGTTTGGGGGAGGAGAGCTTTGCTAGTGCCGGCCATCACGTCTCAGACGGGCGGATGATGCGGACGGGGCCGAAGGGATGGTAATTCTTTCTTTCCGAAAGGGAGGGGAATGAAGCTTTGCCATACAGCATACAGCGCCGGCATGGTAGCATGCCATTGTTTATCCCGTCCGTCTGATCTATCGACCTACCGAACGGACGCTTTTGGAAATACCTCCTTTCTCTCTATTCATTCCTTTGGAAGCTGGGGTGGTCTTCCGACGCCGCCCAAGCTCTCTTGGAGGAGTGTGGAATGGGGCTGGATGGGGATAGGTGGAACGGAGGGGCTGTGAATGGCTGGCTGGCTGCTATTTCACCGAAGCGGCGATGGATCTATTACATAGTAGTGAAGCCTTTTCGTCACCCAGGCCATCTCCAACCAAGACCGTTAGGAAAAAAAGAGTAAGAGAACAGAAAGGGGGAGAAGAGAAAGCGGACGGAGCAAGCACAGAAACGTAGTAGGCCAACGGCCCGATATACACGCGCAGAGCCACACGCAACCCACAACTCGCACGCACTCTCGCGCCTCCTGGAGAGACCCGGGCGGACTTTGACGGTGGCGCAAAAATATCGTGGGCCGCCCCTGGGTGTGTGTGCGCGCGCGCAGCGTGATCGACGGCTCCATGAACGAGGTGTTGGGTTTCACCGCGTACGGGGATGGAGGGGGTCTGCGAGGAGCTGGAGGCAAGGACGGGTGAAACACCCTTTCATTCAGGGTTGAATGGATGAGAGAGCAACCTGCCCGACACCGTTTTCCCCATGTAAGTCCCTTCTTTTCTTCCTCCTCTTAATCTTGAGAAAAGAGAGAAACAATATGCACAAGCGAGAGAGCGCGCCTGAGAAACATCAACGTTTTATGGGGATAAGTGATCACTGGAGAGAAATGTTTCGTAAATACTACCAGAGGGAGCTTCTTCGTTGTATTGGCACAGCGTTGTTCTCTACCCACGATATCGATGTTGTCTAGATCTACATGTATCAATCGGTACAATGAATTCGTCAAAGCCCATTTCGTACCTGTGTTAGAACTGGGGTGTTTTTCTCGGTCGTCCGTGGCTCTTGGCCCTGCGCGAACTTGTGCAATCCAAGGGCCGGACTCAACAAAGTGCGTGTTACAATTAGCATCTAAAACATTGATGAAAAAGGCCATTGGAAAGCCTCTATCTCTGAAATACTACGTAGGGAAAAAATGGAACATTGAAGTGACGAGAGGGTCCCGTGACGGGGTTCAAGCTTTCCTAAAAGGACGTCGTATATGTCGTCGGACGTCATGGCATTTTAGCAGAACCGTGGGTGCTCTGCACTCCTGAGGCTTTCGGTATTGTGAGAGATTGAAAAAAAGATGGCAAGATAGGCAAATAGGACGGCTCAAACAGGCTTCAATGTCTTGGCTGTCACAGTGGCGAGTGCACGTCTGTGATGGCGAGTGTCTCTGGTCCATACCCAGGTATGGGTTGTCACGGTCTTATCTTTCCATTCTTTCATTGCTTTTCCCAGAGTCTTCTGCCTCCAAACAGGCCCCGAGCAAGATAATGAAGAAGACAAAGAGCACAACGCCCCACTCAGATCTAGCGAGGCCATCTCCGATCTTGTGTTTTCGCTCGAGGGTGACTTGCCTGAGACCCGGATCTGGGTTCAATGTTGTGTCCTCACTGATCAAGAGACAGACACGGCATTGTACTTTTCTCTCCTGTTCCTTACTACTTACCTAACCATGCATCTGATACCAAGGTTTTCCATAGTACTGCCCCTTTCCCCAGATTCAGATTAAACTCGGGGAGGGTGGTGTATCGAATATCAAAAGAACGCGAATCCCTGGCTATCTTCAACTGCTATGCGCCGTCTTGGTTCTGCGGGTAATTCGGCTAATTGTGTCCCAGTTCGCTCCCACTCCCCACCCTCTTTCAAGCTCGCTGGAGATTTAGATATTAATAAAAAGGGAGGGACGAAATAGCGTAGTCT